CCAAATTTAACCTTAAATCTGATTGGAATTTATGGAATAATTGGTTAAAAATGAAATTCTTCTATTTGTTTTGGAGCATCTTAAACTTTAATCATTTATAGATTGATTTTTTGGGATATAACTTTATCTCTAATTTTTTACATTGAACTACGATGATGTAATTATCTTTATGATATAGCTCTTGGTTTAGAGATAGTTGAAAATAATCTATAATTGTCAATAAATTAACGAGCACAAATTTTTAATAATTTGCAAGAAGATTAAGTTTAAGCTTCAGAATTTCTTAATTAATTAGGACAATCTTCATAATATAATTCCATATCACCAAAATATTGATTAGTAGTAAGATGAGTGATTCCATCAATTTTATTGATTTATGTTTTTGATTCACCAAGTTCATCTATTCTTCTGAATACTTTCAATTTAACTTCTCCTGTGACTATAAAGTATACAAAATCAATTGGTTAATTTTATTTAAAAATATAAGTAAAAGGAGAATAATATTGTTCTTCACAATTCATTAACATGGCTAATAAAGCACTATCTTTCCAACCTTCAAAAAGGGAGATAGATTTAAGAAAATTGAATTTATAGTCATTCTATTATTAGCCTGCTAATGATAAAATCTTTTAATAAGTGTCATAAGTAATAACTGCTAATTCTAATTTTGTAATAGAACAAATAGAAGCATTTCTAGGTCCTTTTTAATGTAATGCAACTTCTCCAAAATATGTTCCTGCTTTTAAAATGTTAACAAATTAATATTAGAAATATCTTCTTTCAGTAATCTCTTGAAATGTATGATATTTGCCAGGATGTGGTTTTGCATCAGCATTTTTGGGTTTGAATATGCCTACTGTACCGTCTATTATAAAATACATTCTTCTGCCTATATCACCTGCTTCAAAAATAGGTGTAAGAGGTGGAAATTTTTCATATTTGATTTATTCAAAGAGCATCATATATAATTGAGGATCTAATTTAGATTTCAAGTTGCGAATATAATCAAATTGTTTATAAAAGTATTCTTCTAATTCTTAGATTTAATCATGATTTCTTATTTCACTCTGCAGAATAGTTTTAATTTCTTACATATTTTATATAAATAACTAAAACAATGAGTTAAATAAATTAATGAAGAGTTAAAGTATATATAAGAAATCTAATCCTATTAGATCAACTTGTATTAAATCAATAGAAGCTAATCAAGAGTTCTACTTAGCAGTTATAGAATAATAAATGTGTGTAAGTATTTGTGCATATAATGAATAAACTGGAGAAGTTTTTGTTACATAATTTTTAGATTGTACAACATTCAATATTACTTCATCTACTATATTAAGATTTGCTCCTAAAATCTTAATATCTATTGAAAATAATGAAAAAAGCATGTTTTTTAAATAATTAGAAGATGAATTGAATGATACTTTAATCTACTTTTTACCATTAAATGTATTGTAAATTAAATTCGAACTAAATCAATTTAGTAAATTTGTAAAATAATTAAATTAACTTTAATTATGTTATGCTGCATTATCTTATACAGTCAATTAACATTTAAATATTCTCATAAACAATTTACCAGTTCAATTTTATAATATTAAGGAAGTCTTAGTGTTCAATATTTAAACAACTTTAAGTTTAGATATCTTAAATCAATTATATAAACTCTTTAAACCAATTACAAATGGAGGTAAGAGATTACTTAAAGCAAATTTACTTTAACCATTTAGTACTATATAAATGATTCACATTAGATAATAAAATGTAAAAGAAATGTTAAGTAAAGATGATTCTACTATTCAAACTTTAAAATCACATATGATGAAATTCAAATAAGTTGATACTTTGGCTTGTCAATTATAAAGTAAAAGTACTAAATTATAGGATCAATTATAATAAATATTTAAGATATATAATTTTCAAAAAGACATTATAAATTTTACACATTATTTAAATGATTAAAAATTAAATAATATAATGGATATAGATATTAATGGTATATTAATGAGTGATGAATTTTAAAATATTAAATAATAAATAGAATAATATATTGATGTGACTTTATAATTAAATAATATAGAAGAAGATACTCTATTTTTTATAATGTTAAATGAGAAATCAAATAATTTAAAATAGAATCGATTATAATTTATTTAATTAAGATAAGAAATAAATAATCTATTTTAAAGATTGATGTCTTGTTTTTGTTTAAATTTGAAATGTAAGAAACTTAAAACAAATGATAATTCAATTAAATGTCTTAAAAGTGGATATATATTTGAATTATCTGTAAATGAAGCAAATAGAAATAATATAAATGAATTAGATATTAAAAGAATAGTTGAAAAAGAAAATGATTCAATATCTTTTATTGATAAAAATAATAAAAAATATAGTATTTTAACTGAAAAACTTAAAGATTTAAACAATAAATTAAATGATTGTATAATGAATATATTATCTGAAACATAACTTTAAGTTAACAATTTGTATGAATAGATGTAGAAATTTTGTTCTTGGATATTTTCTCTTAATTGTTTAATTAGTTAATTTGATATAGCATTATGTATTAGAGATTATACAATCTAAAATGTATCAAATAAATAATAAATGATATTCCCATAATTTGATCATAATTAATTTATTATTAAGGATGCATCATACTTATACTCTGTGAATTCTCATGATACATTTAATAAATTAACAATTTCATTCAATTAATTTAATATCATTTATGATTACAAAGAATGTTTATCAGAATAATTAAAATTGATAGGATAATTCATTATACTATCACAAATAGGATGTACACTCCCTTGTTCACAATTTAAATAACAATTATTAAGTTGTATATATACTCATTTTTAGAAATATACTATTTAAAATTTAGCAGAGAGATAATCTTCATTTACTGCTGAAATTTAATCATTAAACAATTTATTAGTTTCTGAATTACATGACTCATTAATTTTATGTGACTCATTAGCAATTTCATCTTCACATGAATCTAATGTATCATTTAGCATTTCATTTCTGGAAGCTATTTTTAAAAAGACTCATTTTGGTTTATTTGGAACATAAAATTCTGATATCATGTAAATAAGTGATCTAATTTAATGTAAATGTATGATATCAAATAATAATTAAATTGATTAAATATAATAGAATGAATTAGATGTAATTAATATATATTTATTATTATAGTAAATTCTTGATGAGGAATTTAATTTAGATTATAAGTTGAAATTACTTAATAAATTATAATAAACTTTTGATTTTCCTTCAACTTTTTGCTTAATTTTTGAACGTAACTTTAATAAATAATATGTATGAGAGAATAATATTAATTATTATTTATTTAATTTTTCATTAATATTTTAAAATTTAATTAATAATCTTTATTCATAAATAGTTTTTATCAAAAATAAGAATATAATTCATAATAAAGAATATATACATCAAATAATGAAAATAAATAATGGATTTTATATAGAATTAATAATGATATTCATAATTCATTATTATTGATGATTCTTGCAACAATTACTGTAATATCATCACTCTTACCTCCAATAAATCTAATTCTTGATTTTTGAGCTCTTTAAGCAAAAGGAGAATTATATGTTTTATCTAAGGAATATTAGAAAGATGTTTTTGCCAATAGTTAAGCTGATTTTTAACTAACTCCATATTCATTAATTAGATTCAAGATTTAATTCTGATCAAGATTATCATATAATCCATCTGAACCTACTATTAGAATATCATTTATTTATAAAACATGTTCAAATTCTTAGGCTAATTAAGCACTATCTCCCTATGATCCCAATTAAAATGGGAAATTAAATGAATGTTATTACTCTTCTGATTAATGTAATATTTCTTGATTTCTTATTATTGTATATCCACAGTCTCCAATATTAGCTACTTTTAAAACATTATCAATTAACTTCATAATAACTAATGTACTGCTTCCTAAAATATGATTAGTTAATTCTGAAGCAATCTGCATAATTTATTTTGGATTATCTAAATGAGAATATTCTTTAATGCTTATATTAAACTTAATCTATACTTTTCACAAAGTGTTTTTGAATATTTAGATGGATCAACTCCATGATTATTCCAACCTCCTACACCATCTGCTACAGCTAATAAATTTTCATTAGCATAATAGGCATCTTCTCCTCCTTTGGCTACTTTATCTGGATGAGGAATTATATGTACACTAAATAGTCAATTTCTATACAAGGATTAAAATTGCAAAGAGTAGACTTCAATAATAAATAATATAAAAATCATTAAATATAATTCATTATGAATATTATTCTTATAAAGTTCATCTATAATGATTTTTTTACAATTTGATCAAGTGATTAAGAATCTAATTTATACAGAAGATTAAAGGATGAAATATTTAATCATTACAAATAAGTAAATTAGTATTAAAATATATGATAATTATATTTTTTATCCATATTTATATTTGATATTCAAATTTAAAAGATTTAAGTAACTTAAACTTAAATAATATGATTACGATTATAGCAAATAATATGAAAACATGAATTTATTTATAAAAGTAATACTTTGATAATATGAATTTAAAATGTCTAAATATTTTTGAATTATTTTATAAAAATAAATTTAGATCGATATTCATAAATCAATAGAGACTTTAAAGTTTATTAATTTAATACCATACTTAGATTTTACTTAATATAATTTGGAATTAATATAGTTATATTTTTTCTTATTTTTTTAATGGTATTAACTTAATGTCTATTTTAGTAATAAATTTAATCTATATTTGATGATTATATGTTTAAATTATTAAGTTTTCAATATAAACTTTTAATTCCTACCATAAATATGGACTGATGATTCTTAAATCAGATTAATTAAATAAATGCTATTGATTTTATCAAGCTTACTAATGTATTTGAAAATTCAACAAATTATTCATAATTTAAATATATATTATATATATAATTATTATGCAATAAGGAAATCATGTGATCTATGAGTTAGAAGATGATGAAGAAAATAAATAGTAAACTTCTAAGCAAGTATATAATTTTTATTTATTGGTTTAGTAAATCAAGATTGACAGAAAATTAGGAGCAGTTTCTTATAAAAAATGGGGTACATTATATAACTACTATTTCTGTTTCAATTTGAAAAAGGGAAGATTATTGTGTTATAAAACACAGACATCTTCTTCTTACAATAATTACTATTCATTAAACAAAGGGGATTTTGTTAAAGATGAATCAGAAATTAATCGATTTGAAAACAGTTTGAAGAAGAAGAAAAATTATGAATATGTTCAAAATTAAAAGGTATATATGATTAATTGAGATTAGTTAATAATATATGTTAGAACAGCAAAAGGAAGAATTTTCAAATTAGTCATTGATGAAAATGAGAATTATGATAAGATTGTTGGTTATTTGTAAATTTGCTTTTCTTCTAAGATTTAAACAGTGAATTCATTTTTTGCATTGCTTGGAGTTGGATTAATTAAGGTAAATGATGAAGAATTTAAATTAACTACTGGTATATTTGTATCTTTGAATGATTGGTCAAAAACAAATAATAATAAATATCTATTAATGAATTAAGATTAAGGCTTAAATTTATTAATAAGCAATATTGAATTATTAGGTGGAATTATAGGTTCATTTTATAGAACCTAAAATCTTTTAGGAATTATCTTTAATCCATTTACATAGACAATCGATATTATTTTATTTGATAATTTAAAGTAAGTAATAAATATAATTTAATCTTTAGTCCTAAAATACTTCTGTAGGGAGTCTTTAAATTAGTAAAATTTAGTAAAAAACATATATAACCATCAGGTAGAGGTTAATTATTAAAATTAAGAACTGATATGAATGAAGTTAAAGATAATCATTATGTAGAAATTGCATAAAATGAGAATGTTAAAATATATATACATAATACTCATCTTAATATTTCAGATTATGATTTAGTATAAGGATCTATGTTTACATCTTAATATATTGATGATGAAAATGATTTAGATGCTGATAAATTATTATCAAATACAACTTTAGAATTCTATAAAAAAGAATATAAGATAATAAACAATAATGAAGATGAAACTAAAGAATTTATTATTGTTAATAAATAACAAAAATAAATCAATTTTAATAATTTTGCTTCACCAAGATGTAATAAAAGATAGGTATCTATAATAACAGAAGATGTTAATGATGAAAATTAAGGTTAAGGTGTTTAAATTGCTAAAAGTATAAAAATACACATGCATAAATCAGATCAAAATATCAATTAATTTCCTAATATTACACCACCTAAATTAGAATTTATTACTGAATTTTAAACTGGATGTTTTAATAATATTGAAAGTATTGATTAAGTTAAATAAAATTTATTCTAATAAGAATAATAAAATGGAAAGGATTAATAATAATAATAATAATAATAATAATAATAAATAGAATAATCTTAAATACTTTAATGTAAAGCATAAGATTAAGATAATGATTCAGATGAAATTGATTTAGTTAAATTCTCAATAGTTTTTGAAGCATCTGAACATAGTCCATATAGGGATTATAATTCTATTATGAATTATGCAGTTAATTTTAAAAAGATTGATTATAAAGATGAATATAGAGTTAGTATTGCTCATAAAAGTGGAGGAACAGCTTGTTAAGATAAAAAGATTATTGAATTAGCAAGAAGTGTTGGAAAAAATATGATTAAATAAGTAGGTTAGAAATTATTAAGTGGTAATTTCAATCTTACATAAGTATCCTTTCCAGTAATATAATATTTTATCAATTTATATAGATTAAAGCTATGATTCCAAAATCTGCCTTAGAGAAAACGTTTATGTAAACTATACTCTTTCCATTATATATGAATAAGGCTGCATCCATTTAAGATCCACTTGAAAGAATGAAACTCTCTATTATTGGATTACTTTCTAATTATATATAAGCTAATTCATTTCTAAAACCTCTCAATCCTATTTTAGGAGAAACTTTTGAGGGAGGATATGAAGATGGTACATAATTATTTTGTGAATAAGTATTTATTTATTTTCAATCTATTAGATATCACATCATCCTCCACTCTCTTATTTCTTAGTTTATGGACCAAAAAAATCATATAAATTTTATGGATATTCCCTTTATGAAGCAAAGGCAGGATTCAATTCTCTAACTATATTGAATCATGGAAAAAGAACCATACAATTTAATGATTAAAAAATTTAATGTACATTCTCATCAGAACATTACTCTGGTACTTTCTTAGGAACAATGAAAAATGAATCACAAGGATCTCTTTAATTTATTGATGAGGCTAATAGTAACAAATTAATTAATTATTATTTAGATTTAAAATGTATTGTATAATTAGGAAAAGTTAAAAATAAACCAACTGATTATTTTGAAGGAGAAATCAAAAGAGGTAAAACAACTTTAAGTAAATTATTTGGATCTTATATGGGATTTGCTGATTTTGATGGTGTTAGATATTGGGATGCCAGAATTGTTAAGCCATTTGCAATGCAAATATTAAAATCTAATCTAGAATCAGATCACACCAAAAGAACAGATAGAATCTTTATGGTATAAGGAGAAATGGATAAAGCTTAAACTGAAAAAGAAAGATTAGAATAACTTTAAAGAAAAGATGCCAGCTTGAGAAAAGCTTCAAGGTAAAATGATTGAATTTCTTTTTAATTAATTATATGTATTCTAAAATATAATTCCTATTTATTCTAATAAATTAAAATGAATTAAATTATAATTTATTAATTTCCATTAAACTTAATTGAATTATATTATAATTATATATATAAGAAAATCAATATAATAATAATTATAACGATGATAATAATAATAAGTAATACAAAATTAAAAAATCACTTATACCAAAAACATATAAATAGCATTGATAGGAATTCAACTGGATATATGACATAAATAGCAATTGAATCTATTTTATTTATATTATCTTCATATGTTGTCGTTAATATTACAATTAAATCTAAAACTAATAGGGCTATTAATTCTATAAAAATTTTCCAATTAATTTTCTTTTCAGTTTAAGTACGATATAATTTAACACTTTCTTTTCTATGAATATCATAATGATATTTCATATCTAATAATGTACTTATTGTACAAATAGTAATTAATTTTCCATTTAAATTATAAGCAAAAATGAAAATTATGCAAACTAGATAAAATAATTGTTTCGCAATATAAATTAAAAATGTGTGAATTCCAAGAGTGAATAACAATTAAATTATTACATAAGCAATCACTATACAAAAGGAATTATCTTTCAAAGAACATAACTTAGAATCATGACCATTGTGTTTATCTCTGCAAATATAGCAATATTCATGATTACATGATTTACAAGTCATATGATTGCATCCTCCATTCTTCATAATTTATGTATCACAATTAGGACATTAATGAGTATAATAAAACTCTGAAAAAAAACATAAAAAGTCATTCTTCAAGTTCTTCAAAAATAACATACAAATCTTATTTATTGATAAACATTTCTTATCATACCATTTGTAATTGCATATTTCACATTCTAAAAATTCTGAACATCTACTGGATGGTAAAAATCCATAAGATTTGCAAGTTTTATTTGGACAAGCTCGAATATCTTAACAACTCTTCAAATAATTTTTAAATGTAATATCATTATATCTATCCAATATCTTTTGTTCATTAATTGAACTTAGAAACTCTTGGATTGAATTAGGTTCATTGCATAGATAATTTAAACAATTAAAGCTTTATTTCAATAGTTTTTCTGGATTTTATTCAAACCAATCAAATACACAATTATAACAGTATTTACATTAACAGCTTTTCCCAATAACAAAGTTTTAAGTATTTTATAAACAAATTATACAAATATCTTCCATCTTAATTATAATTATTATTCATTATTAATAAAAAATTTGTTATTTAACAAGCAATTCTGATGCATTATGATGCATTGAGTTGATTATAATTTAAATTTTATAATATAATAATATATATAAGCATTTTAGATAACTGTTATATTTTTAACATAAAATGAATATATATTTTAGCATTGTCAAAAAGGTAATAACAATATTTTATTAATATTTGAATAATTTCATAATAAGCTCTAAAAAGAGGATTGTTTAATATTCTTATTATGAAGTTAACTTAACACTTAATATATTGAATTTTATCAATCCAAATCAATATATTGTGACGTATTGTATATTATATAAGTACTTACTTCTATTTATGTATTTATAAAAAGAGGAAAAGATATTAAATATTTTGATATCATAACTGTAAATCTCAAAGAAAAGGTCGAAAAATCTATTATCTTTAATCTATAATATAATATTAAATACTATTATGATGGTTGATTCAAATATATATATAATTAAATAATTTATATTGTTAAAGAGAAGGATTTTATTATAAATTAAAATTAGAGTAGAATTTCAACTTAATAAATATAATAAATATATTAAGATATTAAAATAAATGAAGACTTTTAAATAAATAATTAAAATTTTGGGATATTGATTTTGATTATGTGATAAGTCATTTTCTGGAATCTGGAATAATTGTGTATTGTATTTCTAGATTGAACATTAAGGCATCAATGTCAATCAAGACAGCCAAAACACACACTATAAACAAGATAATTGACAATCTTTGTTTGGTCCTTTAAATGTTGTAAAATAATAATTGTATAAATATAGCTTTAATATCTTCTGGTGGTGATGTGTTATATAAGTTCTATAACCTATAATAATTATTATTATATTAGACAGTAACATTAGGAGGATATTTTTCTTATGTATAATTCCAATTAACAAAATCACCAGGTGGTTTAGATGGTAATTTAATCCAGACACTTAAACCTTTTGCTCTTTATTAAAGTAATTCCCCTCTTTGATTAATTAAATTTGTCATTTAAAATATAAATAACTATATTAAGAAGCATAATATAAGCATAATTTAATTAATTGATGTTGATTACTCTAGATAGGTTAAAGCATAAATGTAGGCTAATTCAATTTCTCTAAACATTATATTTTTCAATGAATTCTCTAATGTAAAATGCCTTTCTTTTTGATTTTTGGTACCCACATAGATATACATTACCAACCTAATTGTAAGGATCATTACTGATAACACATAATAACTTATGATGGCAGGGAGACAATTCTAAAATTGGTCAAAAACAAATAAACTGCATCTAAACAGTATATTCCATAGACCATATTAAAGATCATTTAATTGGATGAAAAGAATTCAGTTTTGCATAATTTTTTCAATAATTTTCTTAATATTGCAATAGAGCCTNTAATTATTATTCATTATTAATAAAAAATTTGTTATTTAACAAGCAATTCTGATGCATTATGATGCATTGAGTTGATTATAATTTAAATTTTATAATATAATAATATATATAAGCATTTTAGATAACTGTTATATTTTTAACATAAAATGAATATATATTTTAGCATTGTCAAAAAGGTAATAACAATATTTTATTAATATTTGAATAATTTCATAATAAGCTCTAAAAAGAGGATTGTTTAATATTCTTATTATGAAGTTAACTTAACACTTAATATATTGAATTTTATCAATCCAAATCAATATATTGTGACGTATTGTATATTATATAAGTACTTACTTCTATTTATGTATTTATAAAAAGAGGAAAAGATATTAAATATTTTGATATCATAACTGTAAATCTCAAAGAAAAGGTCGAAAAATCTATTATCTTTAATCTATAATATAATATTAAATACTATTATGATGGTTGATTCAAATATATATATAATTAAATAATTTATATTGTTAAAGAGAAGGATTTTATTATAAATTAAAATTAGAGTAGAATTTCAACTTAATAAATATAATAAATATATTAAGATATTAAAATAAATGAAGACTTTTAAATAAATAATTAAAATTTTGGGATATTGATTTTGATTATGTGATAAGTCATTTTCTGGAATCTGGAATAATTGTGTATTGTATTTCTAGATTGAACATTAAGGCATCAATGTCAATCAAGACAGCCAAAACACACACTATAAACAAGATAATTGACAATCTTTGTTTGGTCCTTTAAATGTTGTAAAATAATAATTGTATAAATATAGCTTTAATATCTTCTGGTGGTGATGTGTTATATAAGTTCTATAACCTATAATAATTATTATTATATTAGACAGTAACATTAGGAGGATATTTTTCTTATGTATAATTCCAATTAACAAAATCACCAGGTGGTTTAGATGGTAATTTAATCCAGACACTTAAACCTTTTGCTCTTTATTAAAGTAATTCCCCTCTTTGATTAATTAAATTTGTCATTTAAAATATAAATAACTATATTAAGAAGCATAATATAAGCATAATTTAATTAATTGATGTTGATTACTCTAGATAGGTTAAAGCATAAATGTAGGCTAATTCAATTTCTCTAAACATTATATTTTTCAATGAATTCTCTAATGTAAAATGCCTTTCTTTTTGATTTTTGGTACCCACATAGATATACATTACCAACCTAATTGTAAGGATCATTACTGATAACACATAATAACTTATGATGGCAGGGAGACAATTCTAAAATTGGTCAAAAACAAATAAACTGCATCTAAACAGTATATTCCATAGACCATATTAAAGATCATTTAATTGGATGAAAAGAATTCAGTTTTGCATAATTTTTTCAATAATTTTCTTAATATTGCAATAGAGCCTAACAAAGTGATTTTAGTTATTCCAAATGTTAATAGTGTTGTAATGGCTATAAATGCAAATTAAAATTCATAATACAATTTACGTTGAAACGTTGAATTGTATATATCTGTAATTCTTTGAACTCTTTAATAATCTAATTACATTTATTTTAATATTAATAATAATGAGTAATATAAAAAATTCATTTCTTATCGAATTATTTTTTTTCATTCATAAAATGATTATCTAAATGATCTAAGTGATCTCATTTATTTATTATTAGTTAATTTCCTTTCTGAATTGTTATTGCTTAGAATATGTTATTCTTATTAATCATATTAGATTTTTCGAGGAGACATAAAATAACTATTTTTATTTAATTTTTTCATTTATTCTTTTAATAATTCAAATTTCTTTTGATCATCCTCTTTTATTTTTTAATCATGTAGTATTTTTCTATTTTGTATAATTTTATTTAAATCTTCTTTACATTTAATAAGTGAACCTTTTTTATTATAATTAACAATTTTATTAAAACAATTACTGTATTAACTTTACTCATTTCTCAATTAAGTACTCTTACTTCTTTGAAACTTACTTCTATCTTCTTCCAAATAATTTATACTTTAACTTACTAATTAATATAATAATTTCCCTAAAGAATTTTATTATTAGGGTATTAAATGAAATAGCTTCTTGCATTGTATTAAATTAGTATATTCAATCTTTCTTTCTATAATTGTTTCCACCATTTGATTTAAACTGCAGCTCATTAATAATTAAGCTAATAACCAATCTTTAGTTTTAACTCCTTTGACCAATAAAATAAATGCTTAGACACATTAAAATACATCAGTTGTAGGTTTTGCAATCTAGTTTCAATTAGAAACATTTTACAAGAAATTTGTTTTTATTCAGTTATTTTGCTATTAATCTAATAGATTCTTAAGCCATTCAGAAAGATAATTAAAATTATAAAAAAGTATTATTTAATAAATTAATATGTTTAATTGATCAATAATTCTGAATAGAAATGTTGAGATTTTAGTATTTCTTTTTGAATTACTCATTTATAAAGAAGAAAAGTAATGTTAAAGAGAAAATATATTAAAAATAAAAGAGAATAATCAAATTTATTATAGAAATAGTTTATATTTATTGTATTAGAGTAAATATATACTATTTCTATAATGAAATTATAATTGATATTATTCAAAGTGAAATATGATGGATATTAAAGTAATTATATTAAATAAATACTTTATTGATATTTTTATAGATTATTAGAATATTTAGTAAGTAAATTTAAGAAAGAATGATCATGTAAAAACGATCTTTATATAAAATTCAATAAAATTATTTTTTAAATTATCTTAATTTTTTATTAGATCTCACTTGTATGAATACATTATTTGTTTAACAATGACTTGAATTAGTATATATAAATAAATTTTAATATATATCTTTTTATATTAATTTTAATAATGAGCAGAACTGCATCAAGATAATAGAGCAGAGCTTCAATTATGCAACCTTAAGGGCAAACAACGACCCAATAGATCTAATAAGCGGTTTCTACAAGTGCTTCAAAACCTTTACCTTCAGCACCCGTTTCTAATGAAAGAAAATGGCTCGGTAAGAATCCAGAAGTGGTGTGCTTTTTACTTGCTTTGGAGAATGATAGATTAGTGANCAAATTTCTTTTGATCATCCTCTTTTATTTTTTAATCATGTAGTATTTTTCTATTTTGTATAATTTTATTTAAATCTTCTTTACATTTAATAAGTGAACCTTTTTTATTATAATTAACAATTTTATTAAAACAATTACTGTATTAACTTTACTCATTTCTCAATTAAGTACTCTTACTTCTTTGAAACTTACTTCTATCTTCTTCCAAATAATTTATACTTTAACTTACTAATTAATATAATAATTTCCCTAAAGAATTTTATTATTAGGGTATTAAATGAAATAGCTTCTTGCATTGTATTAAATTAGTATATTCAATCTTTCTTTCTATAATTGTTTCCACCATTTGATTTAAACTGCAGCTCATTAATAATTAAGCTAATAACCAATCTTTAGTTTTAACTCCTTTGACCAATAAAATAAATGCTTAGACACATTAAAATACATCAGTTGTAGGTTTTGCAATCTAGTTTCAATTAGAAACATTTTACAAGAAATTTGTTTTTATTCAGTTATTTTGCTATTAATCTAATAGATTCTTAAGCCATTCAGAAAGATAATTAAAATTATAAAAAAGTATTATTTAATAAATTAATATGTTTAATTGATCAATAATTCTGAATAGAAATGTTGAGATTTTAGTATTTCTTTTTGAATTACTCATTTATAAAGAAGAAAAGTAATGTTAAAGAGAAAATATATTAAAAATAAAAGAGAATAATCAAATTTATTATAGAAATAGTTTATATTTATTGTATTAGAGTAAATATATACTATTTCTATAATGAAATTATAATTGATATTATTCAAAGTGAAATATGATGGATATTAAAGTAATTATATTAAATAAATACTTTATTGATATTTTTATAGATTATTAGAATATTTAGTAAGTAAATTTAAGAAAGAATGATCATGTAAAAACGATCTTTATATAAAATTCAATAAAATTATTTTTTAAATTATCTTAATTTTTTATTAGATCTCACTTGTATGAATACATTATTTGTTTAACAATGACTTGAATTAGTATATATAAATAAATTTTAATATATATCTTTTTATATTAATTTTAATAATGAGCAGAACTGCATCAAGATAATAGAGCAGAGCTTCAATTATGCAACCTTAAGGGCAAACAACGACCCAATAGATCTAATAAGCGGTTTCTACAAGTGCTTCAAAACCTTTACCTTCAGCACCCGTTTCTAATGAAAGAAAATGGCTCGGTAAGAATCCAGAAGTGGTGTGCTTTTTACTTGCTTTGGAGAATGATAGATTAGTGAGAGAGAACAATGATTTGGTTAAATATATTAATGAATTAAAACAAAGTAGTGGAGGCACAATTGATTAATTCAATCAATTAAAGAAATAATATGAAGAAGCATTATAATAGATAAATAAATATAAGTAATAGTAAAATTCTAATATAGAATTGATATTGATGAATTAAATAAGAGGATACGTTCATTGGAGTAAGAATTGGCTGATGCTAAAGGTAAATATGGACAAGTGGATTAAACATTACCTTAGAAATTAGCAGATGCTGAAAGGAAATGGAAAGAGTTTGAGAGTTTATATAATAACTTAAAATTGAAATATGATACAGATATAAGGGATTGGTAGTTAAAGTATGATGAATTGAATAGAAAATCATTGGATTGGGAAAGAAGATATGGTATCTTAGAATAATAGATGAGACAAATGCAAGATGATCATGAATTAGAATTAAGATCTAGTGGTGATTCAGCTAAATAATATGAAGATTAATTAAAGGAATGGGAATTGAAATAAAATGAATGGGATAATAAATAAAAGGCATTAAGAGCAGAATAAGATAGATTAAATCAATTATTAAAAAATAAAGATGATGAATATGAAAGATTGAAAGCTTAATTATTAGCTGCCCAAAAAGAATTAGATGAATATAAAATTAAATTAAGGGAAAGTGATTAAGCATCTGGATCTAAATTTACAGAATATGAAAGTAAGATAGCAGAATTGAGATTATAAAATTAATAATTGAATTAAGATTTAGAGAGATTGAAGAAGAGATATTAAGATTTAGAAGATTAATTAAATAGATTATAATCATAAAATTAGAGTTAGGATTCTAAAGTTAGTGAATTATAATCTAAATGTGGAAATTTAGAGAATGAAGTTGAGAAACTTAATAATGAATTAAGAGATAAAGAATAGGAGATAACAAAATTATAAGGAAAATAAATGTAATTGGAATAAAGAAATAAAGAATTAACTGATGAAAATAATTTATTAAGAAAAAAGGTTGCTGATTAAAAAGCTGAGATTGAAAGATTAGAATTAGAATTAAGATAAAAAATAAGTGAAATAGAATATTATAATTTGAATTTAGTAAATTAAGATGAAAGAAATAAATAATTATTAAATTAAGTAGATGATCTTTAATTTTAATTATAAGATTTTAAAACAAATTATTAATAATTAGAAGAAGATTATAATAGATTATAAAAGAAAAATGAAGATTTAGAGAATAAATGTGCTTTATTTTCAGCTGAAATTGATAGAATGAAGAATATTATAAAATTAAAGAATTAAGATTTAGAAAAATTAAGAAGATAAATAGGATCACTTGAAATTGAAAAGAAATTCTTTGAATAATAAATTGAAGATTTATTAAATAAAATGAAATAAATGTAAGATGAAATAGTGAAACTTAATGAATTATTAAAAGAAAGACTTAAATAATTATAATAATAAAATAATACAATTATATCCTTAAATCATTAATTAGGTGAAATGAAAGCATTATAAACATATTGTGATTAATAAGATAAGAGAATTAATGAAACTACTAATAAACTTAATGAAGCTTTATTATAATTATAATTTAAAGATATTGAATTAATGAATATATCAGCATTATAGGCTTCAATTTAAGAGAGAGAAAAATAAGCTGAATTATTGAATAATGAAATTGTTAGATTGTAAAATGATATAATTAATAAATTAAAAGAATCAGATGATTAAAAAGAATAAATTAAAAAATTAAATGATGAAATTGCAAGATTAAAAACTTAAGAATAAAATTTACATGATATTGAAAGAAAATTATAAAATGCTGTTGAAGAAATTAATAGATTAGAATCTTAAAAATCTGATTTAGAAAATTAGGTTACTGTTAATAGATAATCATCACCAAAACATACAATCACAAAAGAAATACGTATTGAAAAAACATCTGTTTAAGTTGATACTACAGAAATTGATAAACTTAAATAAGATTTAAGATAAAAATAATTTGAATTAGATTAATTGAACAATTAATTATTAATATCTTAAAATGCATTAAAATCTGCAGAAGATTATATTGCTGTTTTATTAAATAGAATTAATATTTTAAATAAAGAAAATGAAGATATGCTCTAAGGAAAATAATAATTAGAAATTTAAGTTTAAGATACTAGAACACTTCAAGATAAACTTTAAAATTTAGAAAAAGGATTAACTTAATTTAGAAATGATAATGAAAGAATTTTAAGAGAATTCAAAGAAAAAAGCAAATTATATGATGATGCAAGATAAAAAATTAGTAAATTAGAAGCTTAAGCTACTGAAGCTAGAGAATTATAAGCTAAATTAAGAGAAATTGAAAATAAATTAGTATTTGCTTAAACCAATTAAGAAAGATTAACTGCATAATTAGCTGAAAAAACAGAAGAAAATAATAATTTAAAATAGAATCTCTAAATTGCTAATAATGAAATAACTAAATTAAGTGAATAACTTCAATAATTATCAGAATAGTAATTTATTTATCTTATAAATTATCTAGAGAACGTTTATTGAAAGAATAAGTTAATCATTTATTACATGATAAAGATGCTTTAGATACTTTAAAGAGATAACATGAAGTTCTTATTGCTGACATTTAAAAGTCTAATTAGAATATTGATCAATTGTAATTTATATATATATATTTCCCTTTAGAAGTATAGAAAGAGATACTTTAGATAATTAACTTAAATAGAACTAATAAGAACTTGAGAAATTAAGAATATTATAAGAGAAGGTATTATTTTTTAATATAATTATTTTAGGTTAGATTCTTAGGTGGAGAATGCAATAAATTAAATGATAAATTGGGTAGAGCTGAAAATGAATTAGATAATTTTAGAAAGAGAGGATAAGAGAATTCTGATCTTAATAAATAGTAATTAAATTTAAATAATATTATTTAGAATAATAGATAAAAACGGATAGATAGAGAGATTAAATAGAGAATTAGAAAATCTAAGAAAATAATTAGATGGTAATTATTGATATAAGTTTAATTTAACATTAAAACAATAAATAACATTTATAATATATGTTCTTTTATAAAATAAATTATATGTTTACAAAATTAGTGTTCAGATTTAGTACATACAATTTTATTAATGTTACATAAAAGGGATAGGTTGCATTGATCTAATTCAACAGACCTAAAGCTATGAATGCCCTTTGTGATGGATTAATTAAAGAATTAAACTAAGTAACTTAGGAAATTGATTCTAATCCTGAATATGGATCAATTGTTATTACAGGAAATGAAAAAGCATTTGCAGCAGGAGCAGATATTAAAGAAATGTAAGATAAATCATTCCCATAAGTTTAAAACATATAAATGCTTGCATGTAAAAACATTTATAATCTTTAGCTTGGGAAAATTTGACCAATATTAAAAAACCTATTCTTGCAGCAGTAAATGGATATGCTTTAGGTGGAGGATTTGAATTAGCTATGATGTGTGATATTATTTATGCAGGAGAAAATGCTAAATTTGGATTACCTGAAATTACTCTTGGAACAGTAATATATATATTGATTAAATTAGATTCCAGGATGTGGAGGAACTCAAAGATTAATTAGAGCAGTAGGTAAATCAAAAGCTATGGAAATGACATTAACTGGAGAATTTATAGATGCATAAACAGCATTATCTTATGGATTAGTTAGCAAAGTTTTACCAGTGTCAAATTTAGTTGAAGAGACATTAAAAGTAGCTGAAAAAATAGCATCATTTAGCAAGTAATTTTATTATAAATGATTATTATAGACCAGTTGCTGCATTAATTAAGGATACCATAAATGAAGCAGAAAATATTGGTTTAAGAGAAGGAGTGAAATATGAAAGAAAAGCATTCTATTCAACATTTGCAACTTAAGATAGAAAAGAAGGAATGAGTGCATTTGTAGAAAAAAGAAAACCTTCTTGGACTGATAATTGAATAGTATTACGAAAATATTATCTATAATTAAATATGTAAGTATAAAAAATTAATGGTTCTGGAGTGATGATTTTTATTGAATGTAAATAGGAGATTTATCTATTATTGTTAAGTAGTACTGGAAGAGGTGGAATATTCTTTACAGAAGCAGGAGGTAAATTAGAACCAAGATTAAATACAGAAGAAAATGCAATTAAAGAATTGTTTGAGGAAACATATGCAACATTTAAAGTAAAAAGTCTTAAGGAATCTAAAAATGTTATTGTTAATAATAAATATGTTTGCTTTACTATTTAAATATAAATAGATGATTTGATTGATATTGAAAAGATTATGAGAAATAATAGGAAAATTTTAAATGAATAAAAAGGATTAAATTGTTATAGAGAAATGTTTAATTTTGAATTTGTTAAATTGAAACAATTCTTATAATTAAAATAAAAATCAATTCAATCTCATGGTTAATCTATTCCTTTACATAAAAGAACTATATGTTCAATTGAAGAATTGATAAAATAAAATATAATAAGAGAGGATTTTACTATTGATATACCAATATCTTAATGTTAGATTCTTTAACATTAATTTGAAAATTAAAATGATAAATTACATTCACTAAACAAATAATTTTATCTTAATATTATATGATAATATTATATAATTCTAATTATAAATATATGAGGAAGTTCCAAAAATAATAATTTAGCAGTTTAATATAAATTAGAAACTCAAATTAGTATGAATCAATTACATTTTCTATTTCTTAATTTGTAAGGTGATTCATTTTCTTTTACTTTTTTAACAATAGATGGTTCAAACTCTTATACTTGATTTAATGATTAAATTTCAGAAGTATTCTATTAAGAAACAATAAACTTAGTTATACTCTCTTAATATTCTTCAAGAGATATTTTACCATCTCTATTTTCATCCATTTCTAAAAGTAATTAATCCCATTATTGTTCTTCTTAAACTTAAATTTTACCATTAAACATTTTCTTAATCTCTTCAATTTCTAAAAATCCATCCCCATTTAAATCTAATAATTAAAAAGCTTGCTTAAGTTAATCAGCAGAAACTAATTTCTTCATATCTACAGCTGCTGTTAAAAATTCAGTAAATTCTATGAAACCATTCTTATCAGTATCTATTCTATTAAATAATTCTCTAATATCAATTCCATTTTAACAATAATCCTTCAATTCTTCCATGCTTAATTTACCATCACCATTTTTATCCAATTCTTAAAAAGTTTTCCTCAATTATCTTTATTATTCTTAAGTTAAATTTTATTGAATCATAAGATGAAGTGTAGCCTAAACCAATTTGCTTTCACAACGAAAATTTGATAAATGTTAAAGTCTAAACTACATCTCCTTAGTAGATATTTCTTTTGAACCTACTTCACTTTTCTTTTAAATCCATTCGCTCTCTAAAGCCTATTACGCACTATACCTCTTTGTAGGGTTATATTATAATAAATTTTTTAATAAATTTTTAGCCTCTACTGAGACTGTTTTCCAAATCTTCTATTTCATATTGAATTTCTAAGATATTATTCTTTTTTCTATTTCATTTGTATTTTAACCAGGAAAGGGAGTTTCTCCAGATAATAATATATATAAAATAACACCGCAAGACCATAAATCACATTTTTTATCATAACCTTTCTCTAACAAAACTTCTGGTGCTGCATAATCAATAGTTCCTATTCTTTATTTGATAAAATCAATATTTGTAATGTCTTTACTTAAACCCCAATCAATTATCTTGATATGTTAATCAGTAGGATCAATCAAAATATTTTCTGGTTTAATATCTCTATGAACAATATTTTTATCATGTGCATATGCAATCCCACTTAGAATTTATTTAAATATAAATCTAACCTCCTCTTCTAAGAATGGTTTATTCGACTTAATTCTTTTATGAATTTCATCAAATAATTCAACTCCATCACATAATTAACTAATAATATAATAGAACTATTCATCTTAGGATATTTCATAAACAGCCATGATATTTGGATGATCTAATTTTTTCATGTTCTCAATTTCATTCTAAATTGTACAGTCTTTTTTAGCTATTATCTTTAATGCCCGTAATTCATTGGCTTGATTTTTCACTTTGTATACCTTCCCAAATGTGCCCTAGCCTATTTAGTTGATTTTCTCATATCTAGACATAATATCATCACGTATATTGACTATCAGATTTCCTGAATTGACTATCATAATTTAATTTAAGTATTGCAAACATATATTATTTAGTATTAATAATTGATTTTAAACTATTATTTTATAATGATTTAGTAAAATAATATTACTTAATTATTGATAAATGTTATATATTAATGTAGTGATTTTATATAACATAATCATTAATATGAGATAATATTTCTTAATTACTATTGAATCTTTCATTTAATTTTTATTTTCTATTCAAAAAAAATATTTTACTGTAAATTTCAAGAATGAATTCATATTAAAATTGAAACATTATTTATTTTCTAGATGTTTGCTTTCGCAGTGCACTTGATTTAATATGATTAGTTTAATTTCATAAATTTAGAATGAATACTTTCTTTATTATTCCTTTTAATAAAAAGATATAACAAAGAGATTGAAATTGAACTATTATAATAATTATTATATTATTCGTATTGTAAGTGTAATAAATATATTTTGGGTATATGGTTATAAAAATTTGTAATTTCTATTTATAAATATTTAATATCTATTATAAATTATCATTAATGATAATATTATCTAATTGATAAATTATCATTCTTATCCACTAAGTTATTATTGATCATCTCTCACATTTGATTCCATTAATTATTATTAAGATTCCATTTTTTAATTCAAAACTTGCTATTACTATTAGAACTACTTTTAATTTGAATCTTAAGATTGCTCAACATTTTCATTCTCTTATTAAGATTATTTTTATTGTTTAGAATCACTCAACATTTATTCTTTCATCTTTCTTCTTACAATATTATTCTAATTTAAATAATGCAACTTACATTGACTAAATATTTTGAATAAGGATTGAATTTCTAATGATGAGAACGACATTATGAAGGAGATCTAGATTTAATTATATCTGACATGAGTTTAAAAATTTTATTTGTTTTTTTTAACTCTGAACTTTCCATAACATCTCTATGTTATTATAAAAATGTTAAATAGACTTAATGTTCTTAAGCACTCCAATGACCTTTAATTTAAAAATATAAAAATACCATTATTAAACTAAGGATTATGTGATTTTTTAATATGTTTTCTTTTTATTTTATTATCTCCGAGATCTTTTGTTTGACTATAATTGATATTTTCAATACCCTAATTAATAATTTATTTTACTTAGAATTGATTTAGTAATGCTGCATTTAACATAAGTTATTATTATAAAAGTTGTTGGGTAAACAAATCCATAACTCTAGGTTCTTCTGTAATTAGTGGGATGTTATTCATTTATGAATAGAATGATGACTACATTTGCTTTATTTACTCTAATTAAACAGTTTAAAGAAAGAAGTCTGGATTCTACATCATTTATGTAAATTGTGGTAATAAAAAGTGAGGATCAATCTCTGGTTTGTTTATTTCTATTTATAAATATTATTTATTACAAAGACAGGGAGAATTTTCTTCAATTAGTGGAACTATACAATCTTTTGAAGATGGGTTAAGACGATCCATAAAATATTTTTTAAATTTTAATTAAGATTTATATATCTGATTCAGATATAAGAATTTAATTTAATCATGTTTTATATTATTCAATTATTGTTATGTTTTTAATAAACCATGACAACAGTCATCATATAATAAATTGTAATAAAAATAACTAAAAAATATACTTAATCAAATGCCACTCTATCACTTACAATACTAAGTATCAAATACTCAGTTATTTTAATATTTTGATTATATTTATGCTATATTTACATCAATTTATTAAAAATTCAATTTTATAACAATAATAATTGTTTAATCTCATCCTATCTAATATGAAATTTATTGTCATATATTTTTATTATGCTATATTTATAATTTCAATTCTAAATTATTACTCGCACTACTCATATTTCAAATAAATGAAAATCTAAATAATTCGATAATATACCATGAAGAATAAAAGAAAACAATATTATATAAGTCATTTACGCATTAATGAATATTTTTAATTAAATCAAATATTTAATTAATGCCTTTTTCTATAATTTTTATCCTAGTGGGATTATTTGAGTAATCAAATTCATAATGGCAAACCTAAAATAGTTTCTTAAACTATGATTAGAAATTTACAGTATACACTGGATCAATGGCATATTAATATGCTGGATATTTTCTATTGCCATAAACCTAAACTACTGCAAATTTTATCACTTGTACAACTCCTGCTACAAGCTACGTTACTCTAACTAAAACTAATCCATCTGCTCAAAATTATTTTAATTACTCATTCATGGATGGATATTGGATGTCTATGGATTTATATTTTTAAGGTACATGGTCATCTCAAACTATTTAATTTATGATAGGAACTTTTACATATTCATATCCCTACAAATCACCTACTACTTATACAATGACAACTGGATTTTGTGATACTCTTCCATTTGAAGTTAAAACTTTGAATTTTTCACTTGTATTACCAGGAACAATATCTGGCTAAATTAATTTTACATCCTCTAATACAAATTAAGGATAGGTTTCTCTTAGAAATGTTTATGTCTCTAAACTACAATGTTATCCATCATGTAGTTAATGCACAGGTCCTAATTACAATGAATGTACATCTTGTTATTATGGTATACCAACAAATAACATATGTCCACCATGCCCATCTAATTAATATTATTGGAAGAACTCAGGATGCAAAGATATTTGTGAAATATACTCTCCATTATATTCAAAAGGATTTTGTTAAAGTTATCTAAGTAATTATTATAAATTAAACAATCTAGTTTCCAATATAGAATAGGGTTCTTTGACATATCCTATTACTAGCACTGAAAATTTGAAATGGTCATTAATATATGATCAAATGCATGTAGATACATCTCCAACTATTATTACTGTTAATTCATATACATATGGAGTATTTAAGTATAATTCCGGCATCTATAGATATTTCAATTCTTTATCAACTTATTCTTATGCAACCTATTTAGTTGGAATAAAAATTTCAATTGTTACTTATAATGATATTCCAATTAATTGTGGAATATAGTTTAAAATTAATAATACTTATTATGGATCTATTTATAGAAATACCTCTGGAATTCAAACCCATAAGTTAAAAATTTCTTAAGTTTTTAATTAGGGATCTTATTCAACATATACCTCAAGTATAAGATATGAAATAATTGCATATGTTGATATTCCTAAATACTCATTTCTATTGTCAGCAATAGGGAATTATACGTAAATAACAATGTTTTTAAATTAGTGATGACACAGCAGGATGGGGAATGTCNAAATATTTAATTAATGCCTTTTTCTATAATTTTTATCCTAGTGGGATTATTTGAGTAATCAAATTCATAATGGCAAACCTAAAATAGTTTCTTAAACTATGATTAGAAATTTACAGTATACACTGGATCAATGGCATATTAATATGCTGGATATTTTCTATTGCCATAAACCTAAACTACTGCAAATTTTATCACTTGTACAACTCCTGCTACAAGCTACGTTACTCTAACTAAAACTAATCCATCTGCTCAAAATTATTTTAATTACTCATTCATGGATGGATATTGGATGTCTATGGATTTATATTTTTAAGGTACATGGTCATCTCAAACTATTTAATTTATGATAGGAACTTTTACATATTCATATCCCTACAAATCACCTACTACTTATACAATGACAACTGGATTTTGTGATACTCTTCCATTTGAAGTTAAAACTTTGAATTTTTCACTTGTATTACCAGGAACAATATCTGGCTAAATTAATTTTACATCCTCTAATACAAATTAAGGATAGGTTTCTCTTAGAAATGTTTATGTCTCTAAACTACAATGTTATCCATCATGTAGTTAATGCACAGGTCCTAATTACAATGAATGTACATCTTGTTATTATGGTATACCAACAAATAACATATGTCCACCATGCCCATCTAATTAATATTATTGGAAGAACTCAGGATGCAAAGATATTTGTGAAATATACTCTCCATTATATTCAAAAGGATTTTGTTAAAGTTATCTAAGTAATTATTATAAATTAAACAATCTAGTTTCCAATATAGAATAGGGTTCTTTGACATATCCTATTACTAGCACTGAAAATTTGAAATGGTCATTAATATATGATCAAATGCATGTAGATACATCTCCAACTATTATTACTGTTAATTCATATACATATGGAGTATTTAAGTATAATTCCGGCATCTATAGATATTTCAATTCTTTATCAACTTATTCTTATGCAACCTATTTAGTTGGAATAAAAATTTCAATTGTTACTTATAATGATATTCCAATTAATTGTGGAATATAGTTTAAAATTAATAATACTTATTATGGATCTATTTATAGAAATACCTCTGGAATTCAAACCCATAAGTTAAAAATTTCTTAAGTTTTTAATTAGGGATCTTATTCAACATATACCTCAAGTATAAGATATGAAATAATTGCATATGTTGATATTCCTAAATACTCATTTCTATTGTCAGCAATAGGGAATTATACGTAAATAACAATGTTTTTAAATTAGTGATGACACAGCAGGATGGGGAATGTCTTAAATCTAAATTACTTCAGGATATTGTTCTTAATATTGCTCTTTGTGTGAAGTATCATTTAAATGTAAGACTTGTATAAGTGGATTCTATTTTTATAAAGATGGTAGTTGCATAAGTAGTTGCCAATCTCCATATTAGAAATTAAATGGTTCTTATTGTTATGATTACGATGATGAAACACCTTGTATCTTATTATTATAATAATTTAGACTCTTAATATTTGATTTAAGAATATATAAATGCTGCCACCGACCCTGGATAATATTCATAATATACTTTAATATCTTAAAATGGAACAAACTTTTTAAAAGGATCAGATATCTATTATTCATATATGTAAGGAATTAGAGTCTTTGGAGGACCTTTTGTGTGGGCCTAAGCTAAATTCTAAAGAGTTCATAATATAATATCTCCACATCATAGTGTCACTATTGCATTTTATATACTTTATGGTCCATCATTCCCTTCAGATGGGAGATTTATATATACAATTGAAAATAATACACCAGTTTCTAAATCAAATGCAAATTTTTATTCAAATTATCCTGATGGGTCAAGATACGATAAAGTTTATGAAAAAATCATTCATAATTCAAATACATTAACACTGACTTGGGAATGCTTAGGTCCAAATAATGAACCTGTTAAAGCATATTGTGGATTCTTTAATTATTATATTGCTGTCCATAATTGCAAACCTTATTGTTCATAATGTACCGATTCAACTACATGTACTTTATGGAACAGCACTTATGATGCTAGTATTGTTAGATTTTCTTAATCAGAATGCTTAGTTAATTAATATTATGATAAGGATTTTATTAGATGTTTAGATTGTCCATTATCTTGTTTAACATGTACATCTAAAATAGATTGTTAAACATGCTAACCAACTTTTATATAAACTAAATTAGGATGTATTTGCAAAATGAATCAATATGAAGAATCAAATCAATGTTTTGATTGTCCTATTGAATGCAATTAATGCTTAAGTTCTACTTATTGTATAGAATGTTTAAATAGTAATTTTAGACAATTATCAAATGGGTAATGTAATTGTATTGATGGATATTATCCAATTGTATCAAACCCTTAGTGTTAACTATGTCATTAATTTTGTAAAACTTGTATTGGTCCTACTTCTGATTAATGTTTAATTTGCAATGATATTGTTAATATTGAAAAGGTGGGATAAACATGTAGATGTCCAACAGGATCATATTATTAAGATGCAATAAAAACTTGTTCTTTTTGTCATTCATCATGCTTAAGTTGCTTTAGAACAACAATTGATGGTTGCTTAACATGTGATCTAAGTTTAAATAGAATATTAAAAGGGTTAAAATGTGTATGTGCACCTGGTTATTATGAATTAAGTAATATTTGTACAAGTATATATAATAATGATAATTATAGATTGTCCAAATAGTGAAGATACATCTCTAAGTCAATGTTATAAATAATGTAATAATAATTAATAAATATGGCATACTATTACTTGTACTTCTTGTGATTCTGGATTTAATTTAGTCTATGGAGAATGTCAACCCATTTGTGGAGATTCATAAATAAAAGGATATGAATAATGTGAAGATAATAATACAATTCTTGATGATAAATGCTATAATTGTTAATTTTAATGTCCAACTCATTGTTTAACTTGTGATTAATCAACTACTTTACCTTGTCCTGATATTTGTGGAGATGGAATTATTACAGGAATTGAAGAATGTGAAGATGGAAATAATATATAATATGATGGATGTTTTAATTGTAAATATTAATGTTAAACTTCATGTACAAAGTGTATATAAGGTAAATGTTTTGAATGTGCTACTGCTGGTTGGTATATTGATCCAACAGTTACTCCTTGGTAATGTAAGGAAAGATGTGGAGATTAATTAATAGGTGTAAGTGAATAATGTGATGATGGAAATCTAAGTGACACAGATGGTTGCAAAGATTGTAGGCATTTCTGTAGAATTGGTTGCTCTTCTTGTGATTATACAATCAAAAAGTGTTTAAGTTGTGAATTTCCTGGTTTTGTTCCTACTTCTTACTATTGTAAGAATACATGTGGAGATGGTTTAGTTGTGACAGATCCTTATGGGTTCTATTCAGAACAATGCGATGATGGAAATACAATTAATGATGACGGCTGCAATAATTCTTGTTACTTTTAATGTTAGTCATCAACTATTTGTACTAGTTGTGTAAGTAATAGATGTGAAATATGTGCTACTGGATATAATCTTTCAAGTTAAAAAGTATGTTTACCAATTTGTGGAGATTCAATGATAGTAGTTGGAGAACAATGCGAGAATTCATTTATATTACCATATAAAGGTTGTATAAATTGCTAAGCAAGATGTCAAAGCTCTTGCCTCACTTGTGATACTACTGGACTTGGTTGTATATCATGTAAAAATGGTTACAATAGAATTGATAATTTATGTTATTCAATTTGTGGTGACACCATAATAACAGAAGATGAGGAATGTGATGATGGTAATTTATTAATTGGAGATGGATGTCATTTCTGTTAATTTACTTGTTAAGATTAATGTCTAAATTGTATTAAAGGAATCTGTTATGATTGTTAAGAAGGTTATGAATTAATATAATCTAAATGTTATCCGATATGCGGAGATGGAGTTTAGAAATATAATGAATAATGTGAAATGATTATTTCATAATAGACTTTTTAGAATTGTAAATCTTGTTAATTTACTTGTGATTAGAATTGCTATTTGTGTTAATTTGGTATATGTTAGCAATGCAAAGATGGATATGAATTATCTTCTAATTAATATTACTGTATTAAATCTTTATAAAATAACTCTATTTTAATTGAAAACTGTCAAATCTAAATTGGAAATAGTTGCTTATAATGTGAAGATTATTCATACTTTGAAAAAATTGAACAGAAGTGCAATTTAAAAGCAGCACCTATGAGTTTTTGTCAATATTAACTTAAATTATCTCCAGATTTATATTGTAGTTATTGTTTTGATTACTGTACATCTTGTAATGAAAACAATTGTATTAGTTGTTAAAGTGGTTATTATTTAGATGACAATTTTACATGTATTTCATCTTGCGGAGATGGAATACTTACACATGATGAACAATGCGAAATTTATGATCAAAATTGTTTAAGTTGCATGTTTGATGCTCCAAAATTATGTGAATAATACTTTGAAGTTAATTGTTATCAATGTGAACATGGATATTATATAAATTAATTTACTAATATCTGTTAATCTAAGTGTGGAGATGGTATAATAGCTGGTGATGAAGACTGTGAAGATAATAATTATATAGAATTTGATGGTTGCTATTCTTGTAAATATTCTTGTAGCTAATATTGTTTAAATTGCTTCAATGGAATATGTTAATAATGTAGCCAAAACTATTTTCTTAGAGATGGTTTTTGTTTGGTTTTAGAGAAGGGTATTGATTACTTTCCTGAATGTGAATTATAAATAAATCAAGAATGCTTAGTTTGTTAGAAAGATTATAAATTAAATGAGTATGGTGATTGTATTTTTTAATGTTAAACAAATTGTATTCAATGTTATAATGGATAATGCACTTAATGTGTATAACAATATTAACTTCATGAGGGTGCATGCATTTTCATTAAGTAATGTTAAATAGGTTTTTATTTTAATTAAGAATTATAAATTTGTGAATCTTCATGTGGTGATGGATTTATAAATGAATGGGAAGAATGTGATGATTAAAATATGAAATAATTTGATGGTTGTTATTAATGCAAATATGAATGTGATGATAATTGTATTTAATGTATATATGGTGAATGCTTACAATGTTCTTAAGAATTTAACTTAGTTGAAAATAAATGCTTATCAAAATGTTAAGAATATTGTCTTAATTGTGTTTAAGGAGTATGTTAATTATGTAGCAGTGGATATTACCTGAATGAATATTTCAATTGTATCTAAATTGACTGTGAATATGATTTCAGTTGTACTTCTGAATGTGGAAATGGCATAATTGAAGATTTGGAATAGTGTGATGATTAGAATCTAATTAATGATGATGATTGTAATAATTATTGTGAATAAACTTGTGATATTAATTGTAATCGTTGTATTGATGGTGTATGTTATGAATGTAATGAGGGATGGAGATTAGATTAATTTTTTTGTACTCCAATTTGTGGAGATTAAATTGTTGTAGGAAATGAAGAATGCGATGATGGAAATTAAATTACTTTTGATGGTTGTTATTAATGTAAATTTTAATGTACTCAATATTGTGAAGTCTGTTTGAATGGAATATGTCAAACATGTTAAATTAATTATGAATTGGATTAATAAAATAATTCATGTAAATCAATTCAACCCTTACTTACAGTTTATGAATAACCTAATTGTAAATTGTTAAATAACAATTAATGTATCCTTTGTTAAGTTGGATATCTAGATTTAATAACAAATACTTGTATAATTGATTATAATATGAACAAATGCTCTAAAAATTGTAAGTAATGTTTACTTTAGGAATGTTTACAATGTGAATTAGGATATTATGGAAATAAATGTATGCCAAAATGTGGAGATGGTATAATAGTATAGGAGGAAGAATGTGATGATGGCAATTAATATGATGTAGATACTTGTTTAAATTGTAAATATTAATGTCCTCAATATTGTAAATAATGTGCTTATGGAGTTTGTACTCATTGCTTTGTAGGATTTTATTTGGATATTGTGAGTAATTCATGTAATTCAGTTTGTGGTGATAAAATATTGGCAAGTGATGAAGTTTGTGATGATGGCAATGAATTAAGATATGATGGTTGTTTTTAATGTAAATATTAATGTTAAATGGAATGTTTAAATTGTTAATTTGGTAAATGTTTATAATGTGAATCTCCTTTAATAGTAGTACAATCTAAAGGTATTTGTGAATAATTAAAAAAATGTGAAGGTTTAATAGGATTGTATTATGATAATTATAGTAATGATTGTTTGCCATAATGTGGAGATGGTATAGTTGTAGGTAATGAATAATGCGAAGATCAGAATAATATTCCAAATGATGGATGTTATGAATGTAAATATTAATGTCATAAAATGTGCACAAATTGTTAAAAAGGATAATGTTATGAATGTTAAAAAGGATATTATTTAAATGGATAAAAATGTGAAACCAAATGTGGAGATGGTATTAAAATTGGTGATGAATTATGTGATGATTAAAATGATGTTGTAAGAGATGGTTGTACTTTTTGTAAAATTGATCCTTTTTATAAATGTGAAGAGGATTAAAATTAATTATCTTATTGTTATAGATGCTAAGATAATTGTGAGGATTGCATATTAAACATAAATATAGTAGAATGCTAACGATGTAAAAGTGGATATTTCCTTAAAGATAATACATGTAATTCATGTTCAGAAAAATGTGAGGAGTGTGTTAATACTCCAAATAATTGTATAATATGTTCAACAGATGGTTGTAAGAAATGTGATAATATATCTGGGTTTTATTTAGATAAATAAAAAAAATCATGCATTACAAAATGTGGAGATAATATCATAGCTGGAAATGAATAATGTGATGATGGAAATAAAATTGATAAAGATGGATGTAATTCTAAATGTGAAATTGAAAAAGAATTTATTTGTAAAGGGAGTATCTGCTATGTTCCACCTAAAAAATAAGTTGATTTGACCTATTCTAACTCAACTACTTAAAGTGATTTTGATTTAATATTTGAAGATCTCAAAGTAAATGGTGTTTGTGAAAAATTGAAGATTTGGATAGAATAATTTTAACCTAATGAATTTAAATATGAAGTATCAATTAAAAAAAATGAAAATAAAATAGAATAAGCTAGATGTGAAATCAAATTTAATTTTTTTAAAACTATAATGGAATCCAATCTTATTCATGTTATAGTACCATTGAAAGATAATGTCACTAGAATTCTTGAAGAAGAAACAAGAGAAATTATTATTGCACCAAGAAGATTAATTTATTATAATGAAGATTAAAAAGCTCAAGCTTAAAGTGTTGTAGCAGCATCTTCAAACTTAACTTTTTTACTTTAATTAATTGGGCCTTTAACTATTTTTCTTGGAGGATTTAATTTCTTTTGGACTATCTTAGATATATTGACTTGGATTAATAATTTTTATTTTCTAAATGTAGATTATCCTTTGAATGTTAAATTATTTTTTAATTAACTTGAATGGGGAGATATAATTAATATTCCTGATATTATTACTTTAAATTCACCAGATGATCCTTATTATTTTGAAGCACCTCCTAAATTTACTGAAAAAGATGTTAATCCACTATTTTTAAATAATATATAATTATTTTGTGGATTAATTTTACTATCAATAATAGGTTATATTTTTTCAATTTGCATAGTATCGATTATTTAAACTAAATATTAATCTATTAATTTAAAAACACATAAAATTGAAATATTTTCAGTAAGTGAAATGAATAAGAGTATTGAAATGATGTCACCATAAAAATAACAGGTAAAATAATTTCATTAAAAAAGTAAATAAATGCCCTATATAATAAATACTATATATAAAGAAATATTATGGTTTAAAGAAAATTATAGAGCTAAATTACTTTAAATAATAGGATTAGTATTTTTGGATATTTGTTTGGCTTGTGTTCTTTAATTTTAATATAGTAACAATGAAGATTATATAATTATAAAATTGAATATTTTATTAGCTCTTGTTGGAGTTATTTTTATATTGGTAGTTTTTAAATTATATTCATTTGTTTGTTCATAACATGAAATTTTGTATGAATCTTAAAAATTTAAGAATTATTATTCATCATTATATGAAGGCATCAACACTAAATAACTATTAGCTAGAAATTATTGTTATGTTAATTTAATGAGAAAAGCCTTTTTTATATTTTTTACTGTTTACTTTTATGATGTACCATTGTTATAAACATCATTATGTTGTTTAATTTGCTTTTTAAATTTAGCTTTGATTTTATATTAGAATCCATTTGAAAATAGAAGTGTGCTTATATAAACATCAATACCAGATTTTTGTATTTTTATTATAATTTTTATTACTGTTTTATTGGCTATTCATGATGTAAGTGATATATTTTCATTTGATTAAAAGTATTTTATAGGATGGGTAATATTATTTTTTATAGGATTCTCAATATTTATTTAATTAATCTTTTTGTTTTAATAGTTTTATGAATAAATGAAGGAAAGATTGATATAATTGAAAGATTATATTTGTAAATAACCAAGAAAGAAAAATTGATTATTAATTTTATTTAAAACTTATTAAAATATATATATATCAATATTTTAATATATCTAAATACAAAAAAAAGAGAGAGAGAGAAATATAATAATTTAATTTGATTCTTTATATAATACTCTCATTATTTGAGTGTTTCTGGAGCATTACCAACTTTAACAACACATCTATATTTGGGTCTTCCATTTAACAATTTATCATAAGCACCTTTGAAATTTTCAAACTCGAATTACTCACAAGTAGGATATATCTTATGTTTATTGGCAAACTCAATCATTTCATAGTTTTCCTAAAAACCTTAATATTTAAATATACTTGTCTTGATCCAACAAGAGATCCAACAAAAGAAATTTATCTTACAACCATAGCAAAAAATGGTAATTGGAGTTCAACTTTTGTAAGTGCAGGGATACCAACCATAACAAAATCACCTCCATTTTTGAGTAAATTTGTATAAGCAATGAATTCATCAACTGTATTAGCACTAGCACAACTTAAAATCATATCAAATTTTCCTTATGATTTAACCATCTATTCTTGATTTTTAGTACAAATGAAATCAGTAGCACCATATGATCTTGCCTCTTCTTCTTTATCTGCTGATGTAGAAATAGCTGTTGTTCTCATGCCTAAAGCAGCAGAAAATTTAATTGCTAAATGTCCAAGACCACCTATTCCTAAGATACCAACATTTTTATTGGCTCCAAAATGTCTTTTAAGTGGAGCATATACTGTAATACCTGCACACAAAAGAGGAGGTGCAAGATGTTATGGAATTGTATTTGGAATTGGGAATGTCCATTTTGCTGGTAATTAGACATGAGTAGCAAATCCACCGAATTTTGGAATTGGAATTAAATGTTCATTACCAACTTATCCACACAATTAATCATTTCCTAAAATACATTATTTGCATTTTCCACAACTATCTCTTATAAATCCTGCTCCAACCAAGTCACCAATTTAAAATTGTGTTACTTAGTCTCCTTTTTATACTATATGACCTAAGATTTCATGTCCAGGAACACTTGGATAACTAATTGGGAACCAATCTTAATTAACAAGATGACCTTNTCTCAATATTTATTTAATTAATCTTTTTGTTTTAATAGTTTTATGAATAAATGAAGGAAAGATTGATATAATTGAAAGATTATATTTGTAAATAACCAAGAAAGAAAAATTGATTATTAATTTTATTTAAAACTTATTAAAATATATATATATCAATATTTTAATATATCTAAATACAAAAAAAAGAGAGAGAGAGAAATATAATAATTTAATTTGATTCTTTATATAATACTCTCATTATTTGAGTGTTTCTGGAGCATTGCCAACTTTGACAACACATCTATATTTGGGTCTTCCATTTAACAATTTATCATAAGCACCTTTGAAATTTTCAAACTCGAATTACTCACAAGTAGGATATATCTTATGTTTATTGGCAAACTCAATCATTTCATAGTTTTCCTAAAAACCTTAATATTTAAATATACTTGTCTTGATCCAACAAGAGATCCAACAAAAGAAATTTATCTTACAACCATAGCAAAAAATGGTAATTGGAGTTCAACTTTTGTAAGTGCAGGGATACCAACCATAACAAAATCACCTCCATTTTTGAGTAAATTTGTATAAGCAATGAATTCATCAACTGTATTAGCACTAGCACAACTTAAAATCATATCAAATTTTCCTTATGATTTAACCATCTATTCTTGATTTTTAGTACAAATGAAATCAGTAGCACCATATGATCTTGCCTCTTCTTCTTTATCTGCTGATGTAGAAATAGCTGTTGTTCTCATGCCTAAAGCAGCAGAAAATTTAATTGCTAAATGTCCAAGACCACCTATTCCTAAGATACCAACATTTTTATTGGCTCCAAAATGTCTTTTAAGTGGAGCATATACTGTAATACCTGCACACAAAAGAGGAGGTGCAAGATGTTATGGAATTGTATTTGGAATTGGGAATGTCCATTTTGCTGGTAATTAGACATGAGTAGCAAATCCACCGAATTTTGGAATTGGAATTAAATGTTCATTACCAACTTATCCACACAATTAATCATTTCCTAAAATACATTATTTGCATTTTCCACAACTATCTCTTATAAATCCTGCTCCAACCAAGTCACCAATTTAAAATTGTGTTACTTAGTCTCCTTTTTATACTATATGACCTAAGATTTCATGTCCAGGAACACTTGGATAACTAATTGGGAACCAATCTTAATTAACAAGATGACCTAAAAAATAAATTATACATTTTACAATCTGTATAGCATAAACCAAAATATGTCTATTGAATTCTAACTTCATCTGGTCTAAGGGGAGGGAATTAAAATGGATAGAGGACTGCCTCTGTATTTGGACCCTCAAAAGACCATGCAAATGCTTCAGCTTAATCTTTGCTTACTAATTTATAAAGACTGTGTTCCTTTGTTGCCATAAATTATATTTATTTATCTTTCCTTATCAAATACACTTGTCTTCATAAATATTCAATCCACTCATGAATCACCTACTCTTATCAAATCAGAATTTAGAAATTTCTATATAATATTTTATAAAACAAAATAGATGACAGCTAAATCAATTCATTATACAAAATCCATTAGATTCATAAATACTCTTACATATTTCAATATCTAAATATTTATATTGTGAAATTTTTTAAACATAATCAAAAATCAATATAAGTATTTAAATCAATTGCTAAATTCTTAATACCATTAGATTTAATAGTGTTTGATGATTTGTTAAAGAATTTAGAAGTAGTTTTCTTAATTCTGCCCAAATATGATGAAGTATCACAATAAAATTAAATATGTTTATAATAATGTTATTTATAATATTAAATGAAGCTTGCAATATATGAAGTAGGGCTTTTTCCATAAGCTATTAAAACATAATTTTAAGAACTACAAGGATTTTGTTAATGGCAATATCTGGGAAAAAATTTAATGTCTACAGTTTTGATTGCATTGTTAGATTTGTTTATTGCAACTAATAAATCTTAAGCAATGGAACAATTAGCCAAACCTAAAAGTAGTTATTAAAATGGATAAACTCTTATTATATCATAATTGATATATAATTTACGAATGGGGAAAATAAATACAAAAGAATTTTTCACATAGCTAAAAAGTTTTGATAGCACAAATGATAAAGGGGGATAATTATTGGATGAGTTTTGCTAATTGTAGGGATTAAAAAGATCATCAACTAATCCAAAATAAACGATAGAAAGTATTGCAAACTTTTTTTCAATTTCAATAATTTTGATTAGACAATGTTCAATAGGAAATACTAGTAAGTCTAGAGTATTAATTTTATTATAATCAGATGGTTATTATTTAATTAAATAAAGCAGTACTGTGATTTAGTATATAAATCAACGCTAATAAATATGCCAACTTTGTTAAATGAGATGTGATGATTATTTTATCACTCCAGTTTGTTTTCACATAAGTTGTTATAAATGTTTAAATGAAAAAATAAGAAAAGCAAATTAATAAATAGTGTTATCATGTAATAATTATTGTATGCAAAAATTATTAGTAAAAGATGTTCAATATTATTAAATAAAAGAACTTAATACATAAGAAAAGAAGTTTTAACAAGAATAATCAATTAATTTATCAAAATCATAATAGTTCACTAATGATAATTAAAAATCCAACTCTTTATAAAATGGAGTTGAAAATAACAATTAAAAGAATAATTAAATTTATTATAACAATCTTATTGATTCAAAATAATAATAAAGATGTAATTATTGTTAATAATCAAATATTAATTAAATATTTATTAATAGTTTATGTAACCATAAATTTTGTATAGATTGTTTTAAAAAAAGAATTATAACCTACAATTAGAGATGCCCAATAAAAGATTGTTATAAAGCTATTGATGCTACACTATTTTAATAAAGAGTTTAACTAGAAAATGAAATATAAAAAAATTAAAAGTCTTTTCAGACAATAAAATCATAGTCTTTAAAATGTAATAAATGTATGAGTGAATATAACATAAACAGTTTATATAAAGACAAAGGATGCATGCATTTTATTTGTTTTACATGTATTGAATAATAGGTTCAAAAATCCATTTAAAATAAACTAAATTATTAAATAGTAAAATGTCCTATATGTAATAATATATATGGTAGAGATTTTGAAAAATATTATGATTAATAACAATTACTTTTAGTAGAATAGAGAATTAAATATGATGAATAATTTAAGAAAGAAGATTAGGAAAGAGATCTTAAAGAAAAAGAATAGTAAGAAACATTTCAATAACAAAAATAAGAATAATAATAATAATTATTAGAATCATCTTCATATAAAAAAGTAGAAAAGTATTCTTATGGAATTAATGATACTTAAAAATATTAATCATAAATATACACATAGAATGATAAATAAAATAATTCTTAATCAAATAAAAATCTTTTAGATTCAACAACACAATCAAACCAATTCTAAGAAGGGCTTAAACAAAATGAATAAGGTGAATGTACTATGTGTTATACATAATTTTCAGAATATAATTTAAGATAAGAAATAGATTGTTAATATCATTAAATAGGAGTATGTTGTATGATCAACTGTAAAAGATGTCCATAATGTGAATCTAAAAATGTTAATTCTAAAATTATCAGAGCAAAACGTATTATTTAAATCATAATTAGCAAAATTAATTTTATAAACATTCATCTAAAATGTTGAATTTATTAGTTAATCTAGTATCTATAATTCCTCAACTAAGTAATATAATTATGGAAATGCTGATGATTATTCTAGATTGAATTCTAGAGGTAGTGTGATTTAAAGTCAACATAAACCCTAATAACGAAATAGTACTATGGATACTAACATTTTCAGAAGTCAAGCTTAATAAAATAATGTAGTTAGTGTTTATGGAGCAGGATACAAACGATGATTTTTGTGAATTAATAAATGAATTAGTTTTTATGTTAATATAATTATATACAAAAAAATAATATATCATTTTGCATTAATATTAATATCTGATATTTTTTGTAAATAAAGAGTGGATTACTATTTAGAATTTTCAAATTTGATTTCTTATTAATTTTACATTAAGATATAAAAATCTTCATCAGTTAATTTTAAATGATCATATTATTAATTATTTGAAAATTAAAGATTTGCTTAGCCAATAAAGATGCTTTAAGGTTTTTAAAGCTACTCAATATTTATTACACTATTCACATTAATATCAAGTGTTGCATGATGATTCTAAAAATATAATAATTTAATTTACATTATTTTAAGGTTGTACTCTAATTTCATCAAGTGATTAATCATCTACATTTTCTACTTGAAAATCATGTACTTTATTATTATTGATTTATTAAATTTCTGATTTCTCTTCTGGATCAGGCGATGAATCCAATATATTTAATTTAATTCCTATACTATGACTTTAACTCAAAATTTCAGAATCAAAATTAGAACGTAAAATAAACTATAATCTTGAAATTTCATATAAAGAATTAGTTAAACATAATTTTTATCTAGCAATTTCAGTTAGATCATGATATTTTTGCATAAATTTATTAAATGGGATAGATTTATCTTAATATTTTACTCCTATTATTTTAGAATACCAATTTTAAATAAATTTAATATTCTTAAATTAAGGATAATACATTTCTATAACTGCTCTTATTACTCTATCTTCTAATGTTTTTTCATTTATCATATAAGCCACATTTGAAAAGAATAAGAAGAAAGATATTATTGATCCTATATTTGCCAATACTTCTGAAACTTTTGGATATTCAATGAAAATAGTTTACTAAAGTGTTCCAAGTTCAAATTCAAATACAATGAAAACATCCTTTTCAAATGTATGAGTAAAATAATCTAAATCCATTTGTTGTATATATGAAATGATTTGACTTGGAAATTCATGTGTTTGAATACTTTCAAATAAAAAGCCAGTGTCTACTGAAACATTTGATGTACCAAAAGACATTTAACTGAAATATGTTGTTTTATTATCAAAAGAAGCGTAATAATCTTATTCAATCAATTCTAATTGTTTAGTGGATGTATTATATTAATTAACAAATGTTCTAATGAAAAGTTGATTTTATTTCTAACTGAAAAACTCTTTAACTCTCTCTTCCTTAGCACAATTCCATCCCTCTGGCAAAACAGTTTGATCGCATTCTTCAAACATTATTGTATATTCAATATTTTATTAATCCAGTTCTTCATGCTCATTATTAACAAGTTCAATATTTTTAAGTTCAATTAGAATCATGTTATGATCTTAAGATAGTTTCTTTGATAATAGAGGTTATGGGATTTAGAGTTGATCCTCTACAACTTTATATAACATAGGTAACAAGATCATGTTTTCAGGTTCAAAAGGATCTATTTAATTAAGAATACTTTTATGTCTTCTAAGACAGAATTCAGCTACAGTTACTTAATCAAATTTTAAAGTATAGGTCTCAACTTCTGTTGCCATAGATGTTACTTTTGGTAAGATTTATCCTGATCTCCATAAAATCAATTCATAAATTAAGTAAGATAAGCTGGCACCGTATAAAAGAATAGAAAGTAGTCCTCCTAGAGATGTTTTGAATTACACTTCACCATAAGCATAGCTTGGCTTATAGTTTGCTCCAAATTAATCAACTCTTCTTAAGAATTCTTGTATATTATTAATCATGTTATCATAATCTATAATTAGAAAGGATAATATATTTATAGAATTGAGATAATTTTAATGACATAATTTGATTGATATTAAATTATATAAACCAAAAAATGATGTCATTATTAAATAATACAACCAATTTATCAAAGATACTCTTACATCCCTAAATTTCATTACATTGTTCTCTAATCATATATAATTTATAATAAATTAATAATCTGACCATTTAGTTTGTCATTTGTAAAATAATATAATTCACATAATATTTACATTTTGATCAATTAGAAGAATTATTTTGATTATTCTAGGGTTAAGCTTTTGGTGTTACAGTTTCATATAATTCAATAGCATTTAAATCCTTTATTTTCGGTTATTGTTACATAAGGATATAGAAATCTTCATCAGTCAATTTCAATTCATCATCTATAGATTCTTGTATATGTAGATTCTTTCCCAAGAATAGACTTTGTGATTGATTTAATTATTAGAATTATACAATCTATTAAGGTACATCTACTAAATTTTAAGGTATCTAAAATAATAAAAGATAAATAATTACAATTTTTAAGATATTATTATTTTGATCATCAATTGAATTATTATCAATAACCTCTTATCTTAATTCTTAATTATTATTATCTATTTTTATAGCATTTTGTTTCTCAACATCTGATTCAATTTCAATTAATTTTAATCTAATTCCAATTTCATGACAATTTCTAAGTATTTCCTTTTCAGTTATTGATCTAAGGATGAATTATAACCTTGAAATTTCATAAAGAGTATTTGTTAAACATAATTTTGCAGAAGCTATTCTTAATAACTTCTTATAAGTATCTAAAAATGAAAGTGCTACTCTCGAATTCTGATACCTGATTTCAATAACTTTACCAAAGAAATTCTTAATGAAAGTAATTTATTTCATTTAAGGATAGTACATCTCAATTAAAGTTCTTACTACCTTTAATTCCAAATTCTTCTCATTTATTATATAAGCAACATGTGAAAAGAATAAAAAGAATGAAATTATAGATCCAATATTTGCAAGAACTTCAGATATTTTTGGATATTCAATAAATACTGTTTATTACAAAGTTCCCAACTCAAATTCAAATACAACATATACTTCCTCATTAAAAGTGTGAGTAAAATAATCTAGATCCATCTATTAAATATATTATTAAGTTGAACTTGGAAATTCCATCATTTCTATACTTTCCAATAAAAACCCAGTGTCTATAGATACATTTGATGTACATATAGTTATTTAACTGAAATATGTAGTTTTATTATCAATTGAAGCAAAATAATCTTATTCAACTACATCTAATTATCTTGTAGATGTATTAAATTAATTAACAAATGTTTGAATGGTCAATTAATTTTATTTTTGATTAAAGAATTTCTTAATTGTATCTTCATTTGCACAATACCATCCTTAAGGTAAGAGATTCTAAATGCATTATTACAATATAAGCATATATTCCTTATTTGGATGATCTACTGATTCATGTTCATTATTTGACAATACAATATCTTTAAGCTCTATTAATATAGTTTCATGTTTTTTAGATTTCTTTGTTGAAAGTAACGGCTTTGGTTCTTAAATCTCATCATCAATTACTTCATATAACATTGGTAATAAAACAATATTATTAGGATCAAAAGGATCAATTTAATCTTTAATACTTTTGTGTCTTCTTAAACAAAAAGATGCTACAGTTACTTTATCAAAAGATAATTAATAGGTTTCAATTTCAGTATGTAAAGATGTTATTTTTGGTAATATTCTCCCAGATCTCCACAATACCATTTCATATACTAAATAAGCTAAACTTAATCCATATAAAAGAATTGAAAGCAATCCTCCTAAAGAAGTTTTGTATTGAACTTCTCCATATGCATAACTAGGTTTATAACTAGCACCAAATTAGTCAATTCTTCTTAAGAATTCTCCACAATTATTAAGCATAATTATTGTTATTTCTGATTTCTATTTTTATTTGCTTAGGTGAAATGACACAATAATAATTTTGTTTAATAAACTATATAATAATTTACGTCATTTTTATATAATTATTAGAATTACAACCTAATGAGAAACAGGATAATAAAATACATTTAATATCTTCTTATTTATATTTTAAATAGATTTATCATGTATTCCCCTTTGATTATTTGATTATAATAAAATTATTATTATAAATATAAAAAGATATTAAAGTCAAAGTATACGATAATATTATAACACTTAAATTAATGATTCTTTTTTAACTGGTTTAGATAAATAATAATCTAATCCATTTTGATAACATTATTCTTTAGTTTCATTATCAGTAAAAGCAGTACAAGCAATTATGGGTATAGAAAACCGTTTTTTAATTTGTTTAGATGCTTCCCATCCATCAAGTAAAGGCATATTTATATCCATAAATATTAATTGATACTATCTATCACTACATCTTCCACATTATGCTATTTAATATATTTATAAAAATATACTTTTCTTTTATCTTGAATATATTAAATCTACACATTCTTTTCCATTAAATACTTGATCAGAATTTAAACCAAGTTATTCTAACAAGATTGATAATGCTAATATATTAATCTATTCATCATCCACTATTAATATAAAAGGACAACGACATTCAATAATTGATTAATTACTTCTCAATAAAAATGATTATTATTATTATTATTACCATGATTTTATATATTTTATTCTTGCCTAATAATCTTCAACAGAACATTCATTATTAACTGTATCAGTTGAAACTGCATCACTAAGTTCTTATACAAAACGGATTTAACTATGAGGTCTTCGCTATCTTATTTTATTTCTATCATCTATTTGATCATTATCATCCAATAAACGTGATAATCTATTTCTCTTATTATCTCTTTTGAATTTCTCTATTCCAGCATTTACCTCTGTCTATCTTGTATCAATAACTATCTTCTTATTTAGTATTATCAATGGACTTTTAGGATTATTAAGTTTAACATCAGGACTAACAGTTTGAGGGTACACTTTAAACCAACAATGAAATCCTTTTCCTGTTTATGTTTCAAATCTGAGTCCACCTCCTTTTTCAAATCTTTATTATGATAATGCTTCTGCTATCTTATTACTAATAAATAGACCCAATCCAAAACCTGCTGTATTTTNTATAACTAGCACCAAATTAGTCAATTCTTCTTAAGAATTCTCCACAATTATTAAGCATAATTATTGTTATTTCTGATTTCTATTTTTATTTGCTTAGGTGAAATGACACAATAATAATTTTGTTTAATAAACTATATAATAATTTACGTCATTTTTATATAATTATTAGAATTACAACCTAATGAGAAACAGGATAATAAAATACATTTAATATCTTCTTATTTATATTTTAAATAGATTTATCATGTATTCCCCTTTGATTATTTGATTATAATAAAATTATTATTATAAATATAAAAAGATATTAAAGTCAAAGTATACGATAATATTATAACACTTAAATTAATGATTCTTTTTTAACTGGTTTAGATAAATAATAATCTAATCCATTTTGATAACATTATTCTTTAGTTTCATTATCAGTAAAAGCAGTACAAGCAATTATGGGTATAGAAAACCGTTTTTTAATTTGTTTAGATGCTTCCCATCCATCAAGTAAAGGCATATTTATATCCATAAATATTAATTGATACTATCTATCACTACATCTTCCACATTATGCTATTTAATATATTTATAAAAATATACTTTTCTTTTATCTTGAATATATTAAATCTACACATTCTTTTCCATTAAATACTTGATCAGAATTTAAACCAAGTTATTCTAACAAGATTGATAATGCTAATATATTAATCTATTCATCATCCACTATTAATATAAAAGGACAACGACATTCAATAATTGATTAATTACTTCTCAATAAAAATGATTATTATTATTATTATTACCATGATTTTATATATTTTATTCTTGCCTAATAATCTTCAACAGAACATTCATTATTAACTGTATCAGTTGAAACTGCATCACTAAGTTCTTATACAAAACGGATTTAACTATGAGGTCTTCGCTATCTTATTTTATTTCTATCATCTATTTGATCATTATCATCCAATAAACGTGATAATCTATTTCTCTTATTATCTCTTTTGAATTTCTCTATTCCAGCATTTACCTCTGTCTATCTTGTATCAATAACTATCTTCTTATTTAGTATTATCAATGGACTTTTAGGATTATTAAGTTTAACATCAGGACTAACAGTTTGAGGGTACACTTTAAACCAACAATGAAATCCTTTTCCTGTTTATGTTTCAAATCTGAGTCCACCTCCTTTTTCAAATCTTTATTATGATAATGCTTCTGCTATCTTATTACTAATAAATAGACCCAATCCAAAACCTGCTGTATTTTTAGATATCTTTTATATTGATGGCACTCCTGATTATAATAATAATGTTAATCTATCTTATTCTTACTTTGTCATTCCTATTCCAGTATCTTAAACATGAAAAACAACATATTTCTATTTATTATTAGACATACATGTTTCAACTTTTAAGGAAATTAAACCTTGAAGTGTAAATTTTTGAGCATTTGATACTAAATTAATCAAAATTTATTTAATTCTATTCCGATCAGATATCATTTATGTTATTTTAGAATTAAAATCAATTTTGATTTCTAAATTCTTTTTTGATATTTAATCTTTAAAAAGTGATATGACTTCTTATATCAATTCTTAAATTTTGAACACTCCTACCTATAAACTAAATGTCTTTCCTAATATACTATTATAATCCATCATATCCAAAACCATACTATGCATCACTTTCCCATTAACCAATATTGGTTTAAAAAATTACTCCTAAATACTTTATGGAACTTCTTCATGGCATTCAGCTACCTAAGCTAATGCTAAGATATAATTTAAAGATGTATTGTATTCATGACTAAAACTCTTAAACAATTATTGCATAGTAGTTTATGTAAATACTTTCTTAATTTACAAATTATATTCCTCCATATTTTATAATAGAATAGTAAAAGACTTAGGTTCAAAGTAAAACACTTTCAAATGTAGGTCATGGTATCCTCGAATACTAAAGACTTCAAATTCATAAGGGAATTTCTGTAATTATATTAGCTATTCTAATAATTCATATAAGGTGTAATGTAACTAAGCTTCTTTTAGATCATATATTGAAGGAAATTTACAACTAAATTATTCCTACATTAATTATTTTGTCTATTTATCGACAGATAATAATGGACTATTCAAAAGTTCTTAAATATTTATATTTCTTAATAACTCTTATGCTCTTGTATTTCGCATAATTAGATTTAATTTACTATCTAATTTTATAATACTAACTAGATTATTTTATAACTCCTAGATTCTATCTGTATCTGAGCTTGTTTTGATATTCATAGTATCATCAAGACCTTTGTCATTTCTTTAGATTTATTGATTAAATAATTTTTAGTGATAGTAAGTAAACAATAATAATATAATAGTAATTATTATCGGTTACCCATGATTTAGATTGTCTATTACTTTCCAAATGCCCATAATGATGAGATGCAGATATTTGAAAATGTTAAAATATTGTTTCTTTGTTAAATCCTTATTTAAATTATCATAGAGGAAGGGTGGAAGCAAAAATAAAAACACTTTCTCAGTATTCATCTATTACAAAATGACTATTGTTAATTTGTTAATTACCTAATATGTTCAGAGATAATAGTAGAATTGGGATAAGGAAACTTATATATTGTTTAGATTTTTGTAGTTATTGGAATATTAGGAAAGTAAGAACGATCCCCAACTCGATACCATGATAAAATAGCTGACTCTATAATAAAAATATAGTACTCAACTCCTACTATCATTTCGTAGATCGTATTGCACAGCCAAACGCCACTGTAAAAAATAGCCAATATCATACTTAATATAATTTTATATAATTAAATGATATTCAGACTTATAGATTATTTTTTGTTTAAAAAAATCAATTAGAACTATTGTGACTACTTAGAAAATTTAAAGATGATATAGAGTATTTATGTAATTTATGGTATTCTCAAGTATATAATTCATTTATTATGTAAAAGATAATTAATAAAAATATTAATGAATTCTTTATTGAATAATAAAATATCAATAAAATTAGGTAAATTATATTATTGTCAATTTAAAAATTTATTCAATTTATTTCTACTAGTCATATGTCTATGATATTTGAGTGGAAGCATCAAAATATCTGCATCTTGTTTGATAATACTATTTTAAGAAGTCAAATTTGTATTATTTAACAAAAATGTCTCAGTATGTAATTTCTTGAAACTAGTTCTAGTTGTTGCTATGCTTGTTAAGCTTTATTGTTTTTTACGTTTTGGAGTCAATTTATCATATTTAATAGATTTCATTATTTCAGGTACTTAAAGATCAATAATATGATGGTCTAAAAGAGATTTTTTAAGATTCATTTTCATTTTCAATCTATCTTCGATAATATTTTGGGCTTTAATTGGTAATTGTATTAATAATGATTTTTAGATTTCAAAAATATGAGCTTATTATTTAACTCTTGCTGTGTAAGGTGCAATCGTACAATCCTCATTAAATGAATCAAAAATGGAACATGTACACATTATATTGCGCTTAGTTTCCAAATTTACTTGACCCTAATAGACAAGAAACATTGATTCAATTGGTTGATATATAGTAATTATCGTTTCATTTTCTTCAAATTGCTGTAATAGTAAGGAATCAGCTAAAGAATTTATTTACTATTTTTCAATTTAATTTGTAGGTTCAAACAGCTTGACAAAGAACGTACGTTTTTATCTGATAAATTATTCATGTTTTAGGAAGAGGAGGGATTGGGATTATTTGGTTATGTACAATAATTTGGAATGCTCGAGAGAGAACTGAATGGATAGGATATGATAATTTTACAATTTTTTAAAGGTATCGTTTTTCAGCAATGTATCCATTATTTAATTGTCTTTGAAATAAGAGTTTTTTCTTCTTTACATATTAAACATTTGATTCGAAAGAATCTAGGTCATCTTGTTCAGAGGAATCTAGTACCAACTTGCCTTCTAAAAATAAGTAAATGTTTTCGTTTTGGGTTTCTGAGATCACTTGAAAGGGAGGTAATTCAAGTAGATGCAGACGTTAACAAAGCTGAATGGATTATACATGATATATACTAGGATATATTCTGATCTGCTTTGTAATTGCAATTTAAGGAATAATGGTTAAAGATGAACTTTTAGATTGTCATATATTAACTATTTAAATGTTAAGATTGTACTTCTGCTTAGATTTGGTTGCGTTGATTCAATTTGAGGAGATCGTACACAAGGGTATTAATAATTTCAGTCATTTATATAAAATAAATGGAATTATAGAAGGAAGACATACTAAAATATATGAAATTGGCTTTAGAATAAGCAGAATTAGGAAGATAAAATAAGGAGGTTCCTGTTGGTTGTGTGATAATAAATAGGAATGATGGGAAAATAATTGAGAAAGCTTATAATAATACAAATAAATCAAAAAATGCAACATAACATTGTGAAATAATTTGTATTAATCGAATGAATAGAGATTTGGAGGATTGCATATTATTTGTGACTTGTGAACCATGTATAATGTGTGCATAGGCTTTAAATTATATAAAGATTCATAGTGTGTATTATGGATGCAATAATTCACGATTTGGAGGGAATGGGACTGTGTTATAGTTGAATAAATATCCTAGTTTTGGTGGATATTTGGAATATGATTGTATGAAGATTTTGTAGGATTTTTATGAGGAAGGGAATGAGAATATTGAAGAGTAGTTTAGACATAGAAAAAAATAAAAATAATGATACAACTGGCAACAATAGAAGTGAAACAAATATTAATATAAATTTATTATAAAATAAAATGGAGTAGAGTTCAATAGAAAGCGAAGATGTGAGTTATAGTGTGTTGATTTTATCTAGGAGTTCGTCTAGAGACATAAGAAAAATTAGATGATTCTTCAGTAGGTGAAAGAAATATGGAAGGAGTCTGATTTGTCAAAGGATGATGGAATTATGCAGATATTAAATGATTTCAAAGAGGAAATTTTAGATGATTTGGAAGATGAATATGAACCAGAGTATAAAGCAATATAAGTTTAAGAAAATATAAATATAGATTTAGTTCCTATGAATGAGGTTTAAAAAGCCCTCATATATGAAGACAAGTATTTAAAATATCATAATTAGGTATCCCTTTTTAAAAATAAGAAAGCGAATCTTAATATAATTAAAGAAGATTTCAATGTTAGCAATGTAATTCACTAAACATCCTATATTTGAGTTTTTAACTTTATTAGTCATAATATTTAACTCTATTATGCTTGCTTTAGATGATCCGACTACAAATAATTAGACTTAATTTTAAGATCTAATGGATATTATCTTTTTGGCAGTTTATACATTTGAGGCAGTTTTAAAAATTATAGCAATGGGTTTTGTTTTAAATAATAATGCCTATCTTCGTGATTTGTGGAATATCTTGGATTTGACAGTAATTATAACAGCATACATCCCATATTTTGTGAATAATTCTGGTTTATAATTGAGTGCATTAAGATCATTGAGAGTTTTAAGACCATTAAGAACAATATCTTCTGTAAAATCTTTAAGAAGTATAATGATGACATTATTTGCATCATTTGCTGAATTAGGTAATTCTTTAATAATATTGGGATTCACTTATACAATATTTGCAATAGCTGGATTGCAACTCTTTTCTGGATATGCAAAATTAAGATGTTTTGATGAAAATGGTATTATTTAAATGTCTGGTTATGATACAGATGAACCATATTGTAATGGATCTTGTCCTGATAATTACATTTGTGGTAAAATGATTGATAATCCAATTAATGGACTTTTATCATTTGATGATTTTGGTTTGGCATTTTTATAAGTATTTATCATTACAACACTTGAAGGATGGACTACTATAATGTAAACTATAATGACTACATTTTCATAATTTTCAGTCTTTTATTTTTTACTTTGTGTTATTATAGGAGCATTCTTTTTAGTTAATTTGACATTAGCTATTATTAAAATTAATTTTTCTAAGGCTGAATCTTAAGAACCAATAAAACCAGATTAAGTAAGTTATAATCTAAAATAAATGAAACGTTTAGGAATTTATAAATTTATTAGAGATACTCATATACCTAGTATAACTCGTAAACATACTATGAGAATGACTAAATTAAGATAATCAATTAATAATCAAAACAATATTAATGTTAATAATGCTAATAAATAAATAGATGAACCTAAAAGAAGTTCAATAAAGGTCAATTTCTAACCATTAAATATTAAAGATTTTAGTAAACCTCATTAGGTTAAATATAATAATAATAGAATATTACTTTAAGGAATTTAAGGAGTAAGAACAGAATAACCAATAAGTAAATATTAAGAAATTAATAATCCATAAGTAGTTATGAAAACTAGTGTATAATCTGTGAATGCTCCTTAAATTAGGAAACTAAGTAAAATTGGTACATAATTTAAACAATCCTAAAGAAAAATGTCTATAACTCATTAAGAAGAAAGTCCTTTAGATGAATTAGATAATCTATTAAAATTTGCTGTTCGTAGATAATCAGTATTGAGAGTAGATACAAAAATAATGGCATCTCCAAGAATACCAACTCCTTCTAAAGAAACACCATAACCTGTTAGTAGTAATTCTATGTTAGATGAATCATAATCTCCTGGAAAACCTCATTAATCCAATTATTTGGGAGTACCTAAATAATAATTCAATTTTTTATAAGATTAAAAATCTTTCAATGAAAATGATGTATTAAGTGTAACTCTATCAGAAATTGATTCTATATCTGATAATGAATTAAATCAAAGATTTAAAGAATTTGAAATATCATTCTAAATAGAAAAATCTGATGATAAAACAGCAAATGAAACTGAAGATCGTAAACCAATTTAACATATTCATTAAAAGAAAAGAAAATAAGATGTTCCATTAACATATGAATTAAGCAAAGAGGATGAAAAATTAAAAATTAGATTATTTTAAACTAAATTAGTTCCAAGAGTTGTATATAAAGATTTTTATTCTGAATCAAGTAAAGATATACTTGTAAGTTTGGAAATTAAAAAGTAAAAGAGAGATTAAGAAATAAGAAATTAAAGAATATAAAATATGAAATTTAATATGAAATATTAATTTTCAAATAATTCAACTAGATTATCATTATCAAAAACATAATAATAATAATAATCCAAAAGTTCATTAGGTTCAAATGATCAAAAACTCAAAGAAACTACTATAAAATCTAGAAAAATTATTCCTTTGACTGAAATACCATCAGTATAAGAAATTACTACTCCAAAATTAACTGTTAGAAAATAATAAAAACGTAAAACTATTGTACATAAGGCAATAACTTATGAATAATATTAATAAGGTTTTAGCAATATTTAGGAAATAGATTCTAATTTTACTGAAAAATTAGAACAAGTTGAAACATAATAGATCACTTTTAAAACTCCAAATGAGATATAGTTTTATACATAAGTTGGATTTTAATCATATCATCAAATAAAAAATGATGACATTAATCTTAGTAATGGAAATCTAGTTGGTTAATCTTCAATTGAAGATGTAATTATTATTAGAGGTAGTTTATAATAAAGGTTTAATTTAATTTTATAGGGAATGAATTTTTCAAAATCAGATTATATGATATATATGACTAAAGATATGTTAAAAATGTTATAATTCAAATTATTTTTAATTGTTGATTCAAGATATTTTAATATGTGTTTAAATTTAGCAGTATTTATGAATACAGTAATTCTATGTTTAGATGGTTTAGTCAATAATTCAGAAGATTTGAATAGTTTTAATTTAGCATTTACTATTCTATTCACAATTGAAATGGGATTGAAAATTATTGGATATGGTATAATCTAATACATTAGAGATCCAATGAATATATTTGATTCAATAATTGTTGCCCTTAGTTTAGTTGATATATTTTTTTTATCTGGTAGTTCAGTATTCAAATCAGTAAGAATATTTAGAGCCTTTAGAGTATTAAGAGTAACAAAATTAATGAGGTAATTATTATTTTCTATATATAATATAGATCCCTTAAATTTATGAATTTTTTAGTATAAGTATTGAGTAATGCATTCCAATCTTTAATGTACATTTTTCTCTTACTTATATTATTTATATACATATTTACATTATTAGGAATGTCTTTCTTTGGTGGTTAATTGACTAATACACCTAGTAGATAAAGTTATGATACATTTTATGAATCATTTTTAGTAGTATTTTAAGTATTAACACTTGAGAATTGGAATAGTATTCTTTATGAATTACTTTAATAACCAGTATCTTGGATAATCACAATGATTTATTTAATAGCTTGGATCTTTATAGGAAGTTATGTTTTATTGAATTTATTTTTGGCTAGTTTATTGGATCAATTTGAGGCAGAATATTTAAGAGAACATAATTTAGAAAATAATAATTAAGAAGGAGAATAAATTTAATAATAATAGATTTAATAGACATAAACGATGAATTAAACTGTAGTTAATATGTCTGTTAATTAATCTTTAAATCCTATATTAGCTAAATAATTGTTATCTAGATAAGATTCATTAAATAAATTTATATATTTTTCAGAACCAGGTTTGTGTTTTTATTCTTTGAATATTTTTAGTCAAAATAATCCTATAAGAAGATTATGTTATAAAATAGTTAAAAATAGTTTATTTGATTAAATAATTTTATTTGCTATATTTTTGAGTTCATTAAAATTAGTAATAGATACATATTTGAGTAATTTTTTAGATTGGGCTGATTGGTTTTTTGCAATCTTTTTTGGAGTAGAATTCTTATTTAAAATAATTGCATATGGATTTGTAATGGAAGAAAATGCATATTTAAGAGAAAGTTGGAATATTCTTGATTTCATTATAGTAGTGTGCTCTTTCATTGATATATCAGTAGCATCAATTGATTTAAGTTTTGTTAAGATTTTAAGATTATTAAGAACATTAAGACCATTAAGATTAATATCTTAAAATAAATCAATGAAGTTATTAGTAACTACATTAATTAATTCAATTTCAGGTATTGTAAATGTAGGAGTAGTTGTTATATTAGTTTTTTTGATGTTTGCAATATTGGGTGTAAATTTAGAGAAAGGCAAAATGTATTATTGTGATATAGGCAATGATGAATAATCTTATTTACATTAAATAGATTGTATTAAAGAAGGATATGAATGGAAAAATAGAGATATGAATTTTGATAATGTATTTTGGGCAATGCTTACTCTCTTTATTGTATCAACATAAGAAGGTTGGCCTACTTAAATGTATTGGTTTGTTGATGCTGATGAAAGTGGACCTATAAAAAATAATTAAATGTGGTTTACTAGTTACTTTTTAATATTCTTATTAATTGGATCAATTTTATTAATGAATATGTTTGTTGGTGTTATTTTAGTAAATTATAAATTGGCAGAAGATGAAATGAAAGATAAAAATGTATCAAGAGATTAGGAAGATTGGATAAGTATATAAAAATTAATAGTTGATTCTAATCCTAATTTTGCTTTATATTATCCTCCAAAAAATTAATATAGAGCAATGATTTTTAAAATTATATCAAATAAAATATTTGATTTCTTTATCATGTTTTGTATTATTTTAAATATTGCTGCAATGGCATCAAATTATGAAGGTAATCTATATATAATTAAATAAAATAGGATCTAGTGTTTAATATTAATATATATTAGAAACATTAAATTTAGTATTAAGTGTAATTTTTATATTTGAATCTGTATTAAAGATTATAGGATTTGGACCTAGAGGATATTTTAGAAATAATTGGAATTAATTTGATTTCTTTGTAGTACTATCCTCAATTCTTGATATGATTCTAAGTTTTACTGATAATAAGAATAATCCTATTCTATCTGCAGGACCATAACTCATTAGAGTATTTAGAGTTTTAAGAGTTACTAGATTATTTAGATTAGTTAAATCTTTACATAGTCTTAAAAAATTGATTGATACAGCATTATTCTCTTTACCTGCATTATTTAATGTATCTGCATTAATGTTTTTACTTTATTTCATATTCTCTGTTTTAGGAGTATTCCTATTCAGTAATCTTAGGTATCATCATTTAATATATTATTTTTAGTGATGGTTATATTATTAATAGTGAAAATAATTTCAATGATTTTCATCATGCTTTAATACTATTATTTAGATGTACTACAGGTGAAGATTGGTATTTATTAATGTATGATATAATGAATAAAGCTGGTTATTATTATTGTTCTTATTTTATTATATTTGTAGTGATAATGTAAAGAATTATGCTTAATTTATTTGTACTTATTATTTTGGATTAATATGAAAGATTTTATTTTAATTCTGATAATCCTTTGTAAAGATTTTAAGAATTTGAAGATGATTTTGTAGATGGATGGGCACCTTTGGCATCAGAAACAAAAGGTTAATAAATTCATTAAGATTTATTAATATAATTAATGTTATAAATAAAGGCACCCATGGGTTATGATTTAAAAGAGAAAATCAATACAGCTGTTAATGATTGGAAAACTTACAATTCTGATGCTGAAAAATCTTCATAAAATTTAGAAAAAATAAAAATTATGGTTACAACAGAAGCCAAGAAAACAGTTGCAAAAACAATAATGAATATGTAAATAGAGTCTGATGAAAATTAAATGTTAGAATATCATTATGTTTTATTTGCTTTTATGAAGAATTTCTAAACTGATTTATTCAAAGAAGTTACTCAAGCAGGATTGCATAAATTGATTTAAAAAGAAGAATAGACTTTAAATAAAATAAAGAAAAATAGACGTAGTTCTTAAGAAGTAAATCCTTGTGTTGAATTATTGTTTCATATTATGTGTTTTAGAGCATATAAAAGATATGCAGTAAAATTAAAGGAGAGAATGAATAGACAACAAAATGAATTCAGTCAAAAGAGTTCTGATTCTTCATATCTCCATAAAAGCTCAGATATTGTATAGAGAGACAGTATAAGTCAATCATTAGAATCAATCTAAGAATCTAAATAATAATTTTGCTTACCTCCTGATTTAACTGTTTATTAAAGTGATGTGAATATTGCAATCAAAGATAATAGTCAAAATACTAAAAATAGAGGATCAGTCTAATAACTTGTAGAATAAAAATTAGAAAATATTAGTGAATTTAATAGTGAATAAAGCATTAGCTTTAATAAATTAAATGATGTATCAAATTGACAACCTATTTGTATATTTTAAGATTTCAAACTATAAATATTCTTATTACTATAAATAAATCTCATTTTATTAAATATCCTACTTAAAACTTTTCAAGAATATAATGAAAATTAATCCAAGGATGATGTTAAAGAAATAAGAAAGTAGCATCTCTTCCTACTCCTCTTAAAATTTATTCTCTACCACCAGGATGTTTGTCTATATAATAAGATATATCATAAATATTATCTTGTAATACAATCCATGCATCTTTATAAGTATTATGTAATTGAACCTTTAAATTAAATAAAAAATAATAATACTTCTTCTATTGTGTAAGATTTTAATTCAGCTTATCTTTTATGTATTATTTGATTATTTGTTGATTATATTTTAGTGATTGGATAAGTACTTGCACTTCTTTCTATACTTTATTTTTAATTAATCATATTGGTATTATCTTTAATATTTTGACTAGTCTCTCGATATTGTTAATTAAGATTAAAAATGGTTTACATCTAATAATTAACAGTTTCCATTTTTTACATCTTCTTATACTTTTGAATAATAAGTTGATTTTGATGTATTTGATAGAGATTCTAAAATTCCCATTCTTATTCCTTATTAATAAGAGATGTGTTATTAGAATTTAATGTATTGATAAAGATATGTTATGATTGAATAAAATGTGGAAGTGAGTTTTAGATTGGTTATGTATTGGAATCAGTGAATATTAAGTTATTTAGTTTATTTTTGGATGATATTTCATTAAAAACAAAGAAGATTACTTCATTTATGATTTTAGGATCGAGATCTTACCAGATTAGAGTATATTAACGATTGGCAAAGTAAAAATTGATTTGATTATTGATATTCATTATATTATAAAATGAATGAAAATAGTATACTTTAGGATTATAGGAGAGAATCATTAAGTTCAACTAATTAAACAGTTGATACACCAACATATGAAGAAATGGATTGGACAGCATTTCAATAATTATTAATATAAGAGAGAATTGAAGTAAAGAGGAAGAAAATAATTATAGACAAAGAAGTGATAATTTCTTAGGTATTGAAATTAAGTGGGATTATGTCTGTAATACAATTTAAGGGAGGTATTTTGATATTTTAGGGGAGTACAATGGATTCTATTTTTGATGAAGAATGTAGTATTTAAGGATTTCAAATAGAAGTTTATTAAACTACTCCTTGTATTAGAGTGCATTAAAGAAACTTAATGATTATGGCATGTAATATTGAGAACTTCTAAAATTAAGGGATATTTATTAAATTTGATAACTCTCTAACAATAAATGATACAACAATGAAAGGATTTTAAGTATATGTTGGTTGTGAGAGCAATAGAACATAATTGAGTATAAATCATTCAATAATAAAGAGTGATTGCTAATAATAATAGTCAGTTTTGATTCATGCAGACAACCTAGGAGAATTTAAGATGGATATTACAAATTCAATAATTGAAGGTAGTTCAGTCATTATAACAAATAGTAATAATGTAGAAATAAGAATTAAAGATAATGAATTTAAAAATTAATAAATTTCTATATCTATTGAAAATGTATAGAATAAATTAATTATAATTGATAAGAATATATTTTATTTGTCTTTGGATTATGCTATAAAAATGAATAATGTTGAAGTAGACAAATTACAATTATTCAAAAATACAATTACTAAATGTAGAATTGGAATATTCTTATAAAATGTAGTAGAAATCTGTCAATTAATATAAAATATTAAACCAATATCTATTAAATAGAATGTATTGACAAGTATGGAATAAACAGCTATTATTATTCGAGAAGTAATATGTATGGAAATAGATGAAATCAATATATAAGACAATACTATTGGAATGGATATAGATATCAGTACATCCAAAATACCAGAATAAAATAATATCAATCCTTTTATTATAACAATTAAAAATTCTACTATAGGATCCAATCATATTCATGGCATCTTTCTCAATAGCAATTTATAATATCATCCAATCAATCTTCAGATTTCTAAAACTGCATTCTTCTCTAATTGTAATGCTTTGAATCTTTCTCATTAAGGAGAATCTAATGATAAAAGTAAGTCTCAAAATATTAAATAGGATTCAAGATAAATATTAATAGTTGCCAATTCCAAGACAATCACTTTTCTAATTCTAATTCAAATTATGAACTCAATATCATTAATACTAACATTGTAGTAAGAAAATCTAAATAATTTGATAGCATAATAAATAACTTATTATTAAATCAAGGTCAAAAAACTGTCAAATTATGTGAATATATTTTCAACTCATTTTATTTTAATTCAATATACATTATAATAAAAACATCTCAAAATGAAAGGAGTTCAGTATAAGAATTACTTCAAATCCTTTATTCTATAATTAAAAAATAATTTTAATCTAACCTAAAGAATAAAATCAAATTTCTTTAAAATAATTTTATTATTTGTTAATATATATTAAAAACTAATTTTTCAATTTAGATAGGGCGATATGGCTGGTCATATATTTAATTGAATAAATATTTTTTATTTTGTTATCTTAAAGAAGGTATTTATCCAAATAATGAATTGAAATCTGAATTAAATAATTAAATCATTCAATATTATACCATAGAAGAATTAATTACTACTCTTACTAAAATTGCAAATTCTATAATAATTGAGAAAATGGCTAACAAAAACATGAATAGACATTTAAGAATAAGTACTTACTCCTTAAGAGCCTACATATTTCACATAACTATTGTTATTAAGATTGATTTCTTAAGTATCATCAAAAGCTATTAAGACTTTCATTTTTAAGATTAATTTATATTATTGGAGAATCTGGTATAATTTGGTAAAACATAAGAAAATCATTTTTGCCAAGAGCACTAGGTATTGAATCTAAATTTTACAATTAACGCTTGAATTATGTGAATTTTGAATGAATAAAAAGGAGAAGGATTTAATTCAACTTGAAAGAGACTTGAACAGTTAAAATATAGTAAAGGAACTTGAGATATTTTAAAATTACAATAAAAAAAGATTTATAAATTAATATATATTTAAATTTGTTATATTTAAAGGATGGATTCCATATTGGATTCTTTATTTTCTATGCTAAAAAATTCAATTTAGAGAATGTTAAAAATATATATGAATATTTCTTAATTTTTTTGAAATATTATTAGCATAATAAATCATACTAGAACTAAAATCAAATATTTGAAATAAAATACAGTGAAGGAATGCTTAATTATTTGAAGAATCTTTAGAACAATCTATAATTTGAGAATTGTTTATAAATTACCTAAGTTTTACAAATGAATTGCATAAGACATTTTTTATTCCCACTCAATAAGATGAAAACTTTGTAATAAAATGAAGGAATAGAATGAGTATCTATAAAAAAGACTATGAGAGTATCAATCAAAATTTAATTAATTCTAAGAGTATATTACATTTTCAATTTTTATTCATAATGTTTAACAATTAACATGAGAACAAAGATCAACCTGTGCTAAGGATTATGAATATGTATGTATTTCTGGTTCTTTATTTGAATTCTTTGATAAATATAAAGTTAATAATATTCAATTATTTATAACTTAGGGGATTTGATGAAGAATAAAACTTTTATTATATAGTTATATGATTTTTGATTCAGAAATATAAATTGTAAAAGAAATTATGGAATATTTACTATATTATGTATCAAACGTCTTGTTTTTATAAAGGGAGGAATTTAGGTTGGCTTTTTTGATGTTAGAAATGTAATTAAAGTTAAATAGAAGGCAGTATTGCTTTAATGGATAAAATTGTAAATTGATGAATTAAAGAAAAAAAATATTAAATGAAAAGATTAATAATATTAATTTTATGTTTTAAATTAAGATCACTATGTTAATCCTGTATATCGTATCTTGCTTTGAGGGCAAGAATCTAATACCTCTATGTATAAATATAGGATTGATTTGTACTCAATTTGGGAGTCTTAAATTCCAAACTCACACGATATTTCAAATTTATGAAACACTGATTTTGTTTATTTAAATTGCCCTAATAACCTTATATAACTAGTAAATGATTATTTACAATGTGATTTATATAATAGTGCTAGATGAAACAGGAAGATTCAAATCATGTTTATTTCAAAAGGTTTCATTGTTAGGTATAATGTTTTTATAATTAAGGAACTAGTGTTTTTATAATAGTTTTTACATCAACAAATGTAATTGAATATTTAAGAAATAGTGCTTTTGCTTTAGGAATTATAATTGTGATGATTAATAAAGGTATTCCAAAAAAAGAAGAATTTAATAATTTATTTTCAAGTACTAGAACACAAAGTCCAAGAGTATATGATACTTAAGGATTAATGATTATTGATTCATAGAATTTGAATTGTATTTATATGAATGAATATATTAAAAGAAAATTAGGTGATTAATAATTAATAATAAATAAAATTGATTCTTTAAGTAAAAAAAAATTAGATTAGAAAATACAGAATATTGAATTATTTGAATTATTAAATGAATTCAATTTAAAATAATTATCATCTATGTAAATATTAGATTCAAATATTATGGCTGATCATATTATTCAAGTAACAAGAGATGAAAACTAAAATAAAATTAATATAACATTTTAAAATAGTAAAGAAAGAGATGATTATCTTAAGAAAACATATTTATATTAAATACTAAAATAAATATTTAATACTATATCACATGAATTTGGAACATTATTAAATTTTATGTTAGCAATAGCATAAGTAGCAATAGATAAATATCCAAATTAATAATATTATTATTCTATTCGAAATACATGTGAAATTATGCATAATTTTATATATGATATGGTTGATTATAATGATATTTTGGGTAATTAATTTAAATTGTAATTGGAATAATTAGATATCTAAACAATTTTGGAATAAGTTACAACACTTTTTTAAGAATAATGTACATAAAAAGATTTATAATTGGATTTTGAAAATCATATTCCAGAAAGTTGGTAAATAATATCAGATCAAAGAAGAATTAAATAGATTTTGATACATTTAATATCTAACGCTTAGAAATTTACTTTAAATGGTTCAATATAGATAAAAGTTATGGCTATTAATGATGATTTGATATAATTTTCAGTAACAGATACAGGAATAGGAATAAGTGAAAATGATGAATAGAATTTAAGAAATATGTTAGAATAAGATTATAAAGATGAATAAAAATTGGCATAAAATACAGCTGGATTTGGATTGGGCTGTTATTTAGCTAATAAAATATGTTTGCATTTATCTAATAAATAATTTAAATTAGAATTTAAAAGAAATGAAGTAGGTACAACATTTTGGTTTTAAGTTTAAAATAATGTTTTACCTACTTAAAGTATAGGTAAGATATTGGGAATTTAATAAATCAATAAACATTCATATATTGATTTAAAATAATCCTAAATAGAGAGAACTGTTGGAAAGAAGTTAAGTAGAGTAGCCAGTAAAATATCAATTAATTCAAAATCAAGAGTTGTATCATTTAGATGTTTAATTGATCCTGTAAAGGAGAATACAGAGAGTGTTATAAATGAAGAAGTTAATTCAATAGAACGAAAAGTTAGAACTTGTACATTAAATAGAAATATCAAAAAATCAATTAAATTTTTGATAGTTGATGATGAGATAATTAATATTCTTGGATTACAATTACTTTTAAAAAGAATGAATATTGATATTGATTATGTATTTAATGGAGTAGAATGTTTAAGGTAGATTGAATAAAAGAAACATATTTATTAAGGTATATTTATGGATATAAATATGCCTTTGATGGATGGATACGAAACTACTAAGAGATTGATTTCTCTTTATGGAAATTAAATTAAGATTATTGCTTGCACTGCCTACACAGATAGTGAAACTAAATAACGTTGCTATGACATTGGAATGAGTTACTTCCTTAACAAGCCAGTGAACATCGTAGAATTATAAAAAATACTTATATAATTTTAATAATGATATTGCTAATATTTGCAAACATTTCATCAATCATCTTATAATTTTGGGAATGCCAATAAATTATTGAATATGTCTTTCTAAGCATATCTATAAGTATTGATATATTTCTTATTGCATTCTCTTTCAGAAATTAGTAATAATACTTAATTAGAATATTACTTATGATTTAAGCCTCAATCCTTTTTTCAGTATTTAAAAATCCAAAGCTTTTAGCAATCAATGCAATATATTAATGTATAATGAGATAATTCATGTAAACATCGAATCTATTATTTAATTACATTGAATTTTCAAGTAACACTTTCATTTTATTAGGTTTTTTTGTATTAATAGCAATTTTGAGTACAAGATATGAATTATTTGATATAATGCGTACATCTATATCAGCAATTTTCTTTATTGGTTTTTAAGTTAAGATTCAAGTTTCCTTAAAATAAAATTTTAAGAAAGTAGTTGAAAACCAAAAAGAATAATTCCCAATACAGATAGAAACTGAGGCAATTACAGCTTAGTAATAATAAATGTAAGTGTTAACAAATTATCCAGAAATTATACTAGATGATTTCTTAGTAGTAGTTCATTCAAATTAAAAAATGAATGAAATGTTATATCAAATGAATTAAAATGACGCAATAAAATTTTTATAAGAAATACGTATAATTAATATTGATTCTATTTCTGAAAAAAAATTAGGAAGATATAGAGAAGAATCATTATTGTTATTATTAAGAAGAATAATTAATAAAAGATCAGAATTTTATGTTTAAGTTTTGGATTATAATCATCCATTATTATAAAAATATTTAATTTTGATTCATTATAAGAATTACTTTTAAATTCAATTTATTTAAGTAAATGAAAGAGATACATTTATCAAAAAGAAATATTTAAGTTAAATTTTATATTAATTATTCAAATCAATCTCCCATGAATTTGGAACATTATTAAATTATCTCTTAGCATTATCTTAAGTAGCAATAGAATAATTTCCAAATTAAGTAGGATTTTTTTAACCTATAACAGCAACAGGTTAAATAATGCATCATTTAGTTTAAGATATGGTTGATTATAGTGATATATTAAATAAGAAATTCCAGTTACAATTTGCACCTGTGGATATTGAAGAATTACTACAAGAAGTTATAGGTTTCTATAAATAATAAATTGAAGAGAAGGGTTTGACAATAAGTTATTAAATTATATTAGATGATAAGTCAAAATTTATTGATGGAAGAAGATGTCAATAAATTTTAAGTAATCTAATTGCAAATGCATAAAAATTTACAGTCTAAGGAGGAATCAAAATTACTGTTACTGAATAATAAGGTTTCACAATATTTTCAGTTGAAGATACTGGATTTGGTATGGATTAGGAAACATTTGAAAATCTAAATCAAATTTTAGAAAATGAATTTAAATCAGAAGAAAAGATTTCATAAAATACTGCTGGATTTGGTTTAGGTTGTTATTTATCTAATTAAATTGCTTTGAAATTATCAAATCTATCTATCTTAGCTGGTGGAGGATTAAAATATATAAGATTAGAAAAAGGAATTCGTGTTTCTTTTAAAATAAAGAATTAACCTTTTGATATATTATATACAAATTGTGATATATAATCTATGAAATCTGGGCTTTTATTTAATGAAAATGGATATTTTGATTCTCGTCAATCTATGTTAGATTTACAATTAACAAATAGAAAAAAATCTGTAGAAAATCATTTAATGTTAACAGTGAATAGAAAATCTGCTTTATTATCAATATCATTTTCTCCAAATTAAATAATTTATTAAGTAGAATAAGAATTAAAACAAGAAAATGAAATTGCTGAAAGAATTAGACAATGTTCATTTATAAAAAGAAGGGAAACTTAAAAAAAATCACCTACTTTTGGAGCCTCTTCATGTGATATACAAGATATAACAAATATCAAAAATTTTAGAGAATAACCACATATATTAATTGTTGATGATGAAATGATTAATATTATTAGTTTAAAGATTCTGCTAAATCAATATAATATTAAATGTACTTCTGCTTTTAATGGATTAGAAGCATTAAATAAAATTAAAGAATGTATAAATAATATTAATTATAATAGCTAATGAAAGATTTGATTTGATTTTTATGGATGTTAATATGCCAATGATGGATGGATTTTAAGCTACAGAATAAATATTGAAATTAGATGATAATTTTATTATTGTAGCATGTACTGCTTTTACTGATGTAGAAACAAAAGCTAAATGCTACTCTGTTGGTATGAAGTACTATATCAATAAACCAGTTACAAAATTAGAACTTTTGAAATTATTGAATCACTTAAATTTAATTATATAATGATTACACATAGAAAATAAGCCATCATTGGGATGTACATTCTATAAATCATCAATGCAACTTTAGAATGCACTAGAGCCCCCATTTTGAATCTTATTTTACTTTTAATAAGCTTAACTATTAGTCTATTCTAAATAGTACTTTTGACAAAATATAATAACTTGAATATTTATACTCAATTTGCAATAAATATTATGAGTGTATTTGCTAAACAAAATGATCAATTCATGATATTATAATCACTAGTTGGATTTACACTTTTTATGTAAATTGATTAAATAAGATGGCAATTTAATATCCTTGCTTGTTCAAGTAGTATTGGAAAATTATCATAGTCCATGTAACCCTAATCTGTATATATTCATAAAATAATGAAGTCCAATCTTATTTGATGACAATATTCAATATTATAATACTTACTTATTTTTCTTGGGCTGTTAAAGAGTAAAATAGATAAAAAGAATAAAATTAAGGATCTTTACTGACATCTCGTATGCCTAATACAATTAAATCACTTATTTCTTTAGAGGATATACATTTTATAGAATAAAAAGCTATTGTTCTTGATAATACATCTATTCTTGAAGTGAGATCTTTTGCTAATGATCTTAGAGATATTTTAATTAAAGATGATATTTCTGAAGATAATTTTTTAGATCATATGAAAATACTCAAAGTAGACAAACAAACTTAAAAAGACTTAAATTAAAAAATAAAAGGAATTAGTATCCGTTAACTTATAAGCAAATGTTAAATTTTACAAAAGACAACATAGATAATAATAATAAAAACTAATTTTATATAATTAGAATATTATTAGATAAAATTGTATTTTGAAAGAGATGTGATTATTTTAAAGTTTGAAGAAATTAAAGAGTTTGCCAAATATATTAAAAAAAATTCATGTTATGCATTAATGAATAAATTATTTTAATCCTTTAGTCATGAGTTTGGAACATTATTGAATTAAATAGCTTTAAATGCATAGAACGGTTTTGCCTAATTTCCATCTATGAAGGAATAATTTGATTCGATTTATAATTGTGTAGTTATGATGAATAATATGGTTAAAGATTTAAAGGATTTTCATTAATTACGTAGTAAAACATTTTAATTAGAAATTGTTGATGTGAATATTGATAATATTTTTTATGAACTTCAAAACTTATTCAAATAATAATCAACATAAAAAAAGATATCCTTAGTTTTAGTGAATAAAGTATATATCAACTTTAAATAAGATGAATAAAGAATTAAATAAATACTATAAAATCTTATTTAAAATGCTATCAAATATACAAATTAAGATGGAAATATTTATGTTATTTCAGAAAAAGAAGATGATAAAAGAATTAAATTTTCTGTTATAGATTCAGGTATTGGTATATCTGAAAGTGTTGCATATAATATAGAATAAATGTTAGGTAATGATTTAATTTTGACATCAAAACTTTCAGAAGGTGCAGCTGGATTAGGTTTAGGATTGTTAAATTCTAATTATTTAATTAAACACTTATCTTCTTTTTAATAAGCACATAAAGAACATTTATAATTTACATCAAAACTAGGAAATGGAACTAAATTCTGGTTTTATATTTGGAAATATCAAGTATTAGAATCACCATCAAGTTAATTGGAATAAAAATCAATAAAAATGATAGATAAGAAAGTATTTCTACATTAGAAATCCAATATTGCACCACCACTTTCCAGTATAATTTAAAATCCTAAAAGTTGTCCATCATAAATCATAAGATTGACTCCAAATAAATCTTGCCAAATTAGTCAATAACCTTAAATATTTTTCCCATAGAATATAAAGGATGAGAATATTATGATAATGGAAGAAGATGATAGAACAATTGCAGAAGATCCTAAACCTAATCATTTACCAGGTTAAAGAGTAAGATTACCATCTATGAGTTCACCATAATATTAATATGTTAAATTACTACTTGTAGATGATGAACCAGCTAATTTATTCCCTCTTAAGATCATGATTAAAATGCTTGGTTTTGAGAGTGATATAGCTATAAATGGATAATAAGCTATTTAATAGGTGGAATCAAGATTAAATTAAAAATGTTAATATCATTTAATTTTAATGGATATTAATATGCCATAAATGGATGGATTTCAAACTACAAGATTAATTAAATAGATATAACCTGAAATTATTATAGTAGCTTGTTCAGCTTTTAGTGACATGTAGACTAAATATTAAGCCTAATTACATGGAATGATAAATTATCTTGAAAAACCAATAAATAAAGAAAATTTATAACAAATATTGGAAATGTATATGTGATCATTATTATTTATACAATTCCTTGCCTCTCTTGATAGCTTAATCAAATAATGCTTTCATTCCTGGCTCCTATTAAATCTTTAATGCTTCAAAGTAAGATGCAGCAGCCTCTCCAAATTCATTCAAACCTTCATAGGCTTAACCTTCATAATAATAGATCTTAACCCAATCTTTCTTTATATTTCTAGCCTATTTACAAGTAGCTAATATATCCTTATATTTTGATAATTTTAATTAAGCATTTGCTAAATTTGTGTAAATCTTCACAATTTCATCTCTATGATGTTCAATTATCTATTTAGATTTCTCAATTATTTCCATATATTTTATAATTGCTTATTCATATTATTCACTTTATAATAATTTATTAGCTTCAACTTTTTCAGAATTAATCTCATTATATACATCCTTAATTTATTCATCAGTTAATTATTTTGGTGGAGAAGGAATTTATGCTTCTTTTCTCAAAGCAAATTCTCTATAATATTATACACAATCCCATTTCTCATTTTATACTGCTAAATCTAAAGGTGTTTATTTTTAATTCTCATAATTAATATCAGCACCAAATTAAATCAATATTTATGAAAATTTTAATAATCCTTTTTCTGCACATAAATGTAAAGCTGACCATCCATCTGGATCTTTTATATTAACATCAATTTTATCATTAAATTCTTCAAATATTTTATTAAATAATTCTTCATTATTTTAGTCAATTATTAAATGTAATAAGGAAGGCATTTAATTTTAAATGATATTTAAGTCTGCTCCTTTCTTTATCAAATGGAGAGCACTTTAATTTTATTAATATGCCACTGCAAATGAAACTGGAGTACCATAATTAGATAATGCATTTATATTAGCTCCTGCTTATAATAATAGTTCTATCATTGGAATAGCACTTTATTATGCAGCTAAATGAAGTGCTGTAATTGTATTTCTTTAATAATTAACATCTACATGATGAACTTCAATCAAATATTTAACAATCTATATATGATTATGTTAAACAGCAATTATAAATGGATTATTTTTATCATCATCCAATAAAGTTATATCTGCACCTTTCTTAACTAAAAATTTGAACACATCTAAATCTCCTCTTGATGCTCCAAAATGAATTGCCTTCTTTCCTTTTCCTTCTGATATCACATTTATGAATGTTCTTATGGGAACTTTTTCATTCTCATTCCCTCTCTTACGTTATTTAACATACAATAGATACTTTTTAATAGTATCAATATCTGAAGTACTTATTTATTTAAAATATTCTTCTATAAACTTTTTTTCCTTCTCTATTTCTTACATATCACTCATTAATAATTTATTATATGAAATAATCGTAATTTTTGCAAACCTTAAACTTTGATCCACTCCGAAGTCCACCGATAAGAGAAATTGCTTAAAGACATCAAGTTTATCTCATTTAATAGCTAGAGAGCAACTATGTGTGGTTTATTGATCGAATCTAATGATTATTGCCAATGCTGTGGCTTGGGAATTCACACTCACCCTATTTCATTGAAGGCAAACATTATCAATTTAGCATTTTTGGGTCAAGGTATACCATTGTTTTATAATATAACTTTTCTACTCATTTTACTTACATTTATATTATTCCTTATTTTTGGCCTGCCCACTATTATTTTTAATTTTTTAGCTGAAAATTGCTTAGAACAAACAAATTAGGCTTATAATATATTTATTACACAAGGTTGTTCTAAGAATTGTCCAAATGAAAATGATGATTTTAAATAAATTCAATAACTTATTTCTACAAGTGATTGTAAGATCATTTGTGAACACTATTAAGAATTATGCGTAGCAACTTTATTATCAGAAATGTCATTTCCAAATAAATAATTGGATAATGATTTAAAAATCATATAATCTTTCTTTGTATTTGGATCAGTGATTTTTATAAAGATTTATCTTGTATTAATAAGGGAAAAATAAAGAATAATTGAAACAGAATGTGATTAAGAATTAATATCTCCTTCAGATTTTACTGTTATGCTTAATCATTTACCAGAAGAAGATTATGATGAAAAAGAATTAGCTACAGCAATAGAGTAATATTGTTAGAAAATTAATAATTAAATTAAATATGAAGTAATTAAAATTAATATTGCATATGATATTAAATCATTTGTATTAAAAAGTAGAGAAAAAATTAAATTAGAAAAAATATTAGCAAAAGAATAAAAATATTATATTAAAAATTAGAAATACAAAAGAAATAAATAAGAAATTGAGAAAATAAAATTTATGGTAGAATAATTAAAAAAAGAATTATATAGTATAGAATTAGAAATTGAAAATGGATCATATAGAAAGACTACATCTGTTGCATTTATAACATTTTAAACTAAATAATGTATCATTTATATATATTAAATATAGAATTATAAAAATTAATACAATAAACTAAATTATCTTATTGGGAATAATTACTTATGCATGTTAAAAGATTAATATAAAACAAGGCTAAAAGAGGATTCTATTTTAAAGATAAATTAATATCAATTCGTAGAGCACCTGAACCAGATGATATATTTTGGGAGAATTGTGGTATTGAAAATTCAATAAAAATAAAAAGAAAATTTATTAGTTGGATTGTAGTTTTTGTTTTATTGGGAATTTCATTTGCTACACTTTATGGACTTGAATATTTACAAGTAATAATTATTTATTTAATTTAAGAATTAATATCTTTCAAATGATTTAGATTTTATTACAAAAACATCAATATCATTATTAAAATCTTTAATTATAACTATTGTTGATGCTCTAATTTATTATTTTATAACATTATTAGCTAATCATGAAAGACATGTAACTAAAACACATTAAGATACTTCAGTTGCATAAAAATTATGTTGTGTACAATTTATAAATTCATGTTTTTTATTACTTTTGATTCATTTAATAGGTGTTGGATAAAAAGGGAATTTTATGGAAAAATCAAAATATGCAATCTAAAAATAAGGAGGTATTGCAAATGATTTACTTTTTGTTTGTTCTATGAATGCTTTATTTACTCCTATTACAGCATTTTTTAATCCTATTTATTTCATTAAGAAATTATAATAAGTTTTTATAGAATCTAATAACAGTTTAAATTAATTAGAAGCTAATAAATTATTTGAAGGTCCATAAGTATTATTATATGATTAATATGCATTCATTTGTAAAACAACTTGGATTACTTTATTTTTAGCCCCATTAAGTCCAATTTGTATATTTATTAATTGGATTGGATTATCATTATATTATTGGATATAAAAATATTTATTATTGAGAAGAAATAGCAAACCTCCATTTCAAAGTAGTCATTTAGATCGAGAAATGTTAACACTTTTAGATTTAAGTCCTATATTGTTAGCTGGTATGTAGTATTGGATTGATGAAATATATGTTTCTAATAATCTTAGTCATAGTATAAATATTGGAACATTAGTGATTGCAGGATTGGAATTAGTTTTTCCATCTTATAGAATTCATTAAATTTTATATAGAAAATAATTAGATGATATTGAAAATTAAAGATATGTTGATGTTCACCTTCGATTTCCAACTGATTATGATAGAACTAATCCGTTGACTAGCGAACAAGCAACCCAAGAGTTTCTGAAGAAGAAATATGAATAATTTAATAAATCAATGACTTATATGAGACACTCAAGAAAACATTCGACAAAAAAATCTTTAAGAGAATATGTTTTAAAAGGAATTTAAGATCCAAATAAATCAAGAATATAAGTTCTTAAGAAAAAACTTTAAACTGCTTATAAATTAAAAATGTTTTAAAATGTTTAGATATAATAAGAAACTAATTATAAAGAATCTGATCATGAAGACTCAAATCATACTTTTAATTTCCCAATATATTAAAGAGCTCCATAATATAATTTTTAAAGAGTAATAAATCAATTTCCAAATTATTCCTAATATAATTCAGATCTCACTAATAGAAGTAATTCTATTTCTTCAACTATATAATTAAATACATCAAAATATTAATTAACAGCAAAAAGAAATTCTTAAATCTAATCTTTTAGAGCTCAATTATAATGATAATATAAAATGATAATTTTCTTCAAAAATAATATATATATATATATTAAAGATATTTTATATAAATATAGTTTAATAAGCATTCTCAATTTTCAAATTTATTTGGGCTGAGAAATTTAGAGAAATTATAGTTCTAAGCATCTTAGAATTTATTATTGTAATCATTATCAGTAGAGATATTTAATGAATTCTTTCTTAAATTAATATTCTTATTGACTATCATGTATTCAGGTGTTTATGAATATATAGGTTCTTATTAATCTTAAGAAATCTCTTCATCTTATTATTATTATATAATAGCAGCAATTTAACGAGCTTTTCTTATAAGTTTAATTTTTCTCATCATTGAAATTTTTAATTTTAATGAAATAGTATTTCTCATAAATTGAACTCCTCCCATCTAAGCATATTTATATAATGCTGTTTTAGTATCCATAACTTAAGGTTATATATAATTAGTATCAATTAATGTTTTAGCTTTAATAAATTCTAAAATTGCATTTTATTAAGTCAATGGATTAGTTCTATCATAATCTGTTGGTAATTTTAAATAAACATCTTAATATCTATCCTTTTCTGTAAATATATTACCTTTTTTATCAAATAACTTACTGATTCTAGTAGCTGGTGTAATTAATTCCAAACAAGAGAATCCTAAACTAATAAAATTTACTGTCAATATAGCTGAACTAGAATTGAAAATATAATCTGTCCACATTTATCCAACTGCTAATATTATAGGACTTAATTCAAATAAATTCATCATTTCTCTATTTAAATGAAAACTTTAAAAAGGTGGTTTCGAATTTCTTCTTAATAATAAATATTTTTAAATCCAATAATATAGTAATAATCCTGAACTGCAAAATAATAAAGAAATAGGTAATAAAGGAGCAAAGAGTAAGGAAATCCAAAGAGATAAACAAATATATGAATATTGTTCATATAAAAGTACTGATGGTCCTTCAAATATTTTATTAGCCTCTATTTAGTTAAAATTATTATCAATTTTAAAAAAATATTACTGATATTATTTATAAAGATAAAGTGGATCCAAATAAGCAAAAATAGGAACAAAAAATGAATTAACAATTAATAAAAAGAATGCATCTGATATTACTCCTCCTTATCTTGAATATGAATATGTTGCTGCATAATTATCTGCTTTGTCATTTTCAAAATTATAAACTAAAATATTTATAACTTTTGTAAATATTCCTGAATTAAAAAATTAAACTATTGCTAATTTAGTTGCAACAGAAACATCATGATGAGTTTTTGTAAAATGTTTTTCAGATTATCCTAATAATTTTATAAAATAATAAATTATCTAATTTATTATTGTTATTATTAATGAAATAACTAATGTTACAATTATCATAATAACATCATCAAATGATGATAGATTTTAACTTTATAATATATTCAAACCTAATAAAATAGTAAAAGAAGCTCCTAAAATAAATATTGTAATAAAGAAATTCAATATTCTTTTTTGAAATTGATACTAAAAATTAAATCCACAATTTTCCCAAAATACATCATTTGGTTCAGGAGCTCTACAAAATATTATTATTCTATTTTTAAAATAAAATCCCCTCTAATCTTATCTATTTATTAAATAATATTTGAATCGAATCCATAACTCTTCCCAATAAGATAGTTTTGTCTAATCTAAAACATTTTATAATTCTAAGAATAAAATAAATATTTACATTCTTTAGTTTAGAATGTTACAAATGCTACCTAAGTTTAATGAGCATATTATTAATTTTCTACTTCATTCTCAATTGTCATTAATTTTTAATCTAGAACCATGATTCTTTCTTTTAATTAACTAAACTAATTAGTTTTTAAAGATCTAGGATATTTACCATATTATTTATAATAATTTTCAATTTTTTCTATTTTCTTTTCTAAACTCATCTTTTCTCTACTACATTCAACAAATGAAGTTATATCATATGCTATTATTATTTTAACTATTTCATATTGACCTTTCTCATCAAATTAATAACAAAAATCTAATAATGCATCTTTTAATTCTGCTTCATTATATTCATTTATAGGTAAATTAGTCAACATTGCTGTGAAATCTGAAGGTGATATAAATTCTTAATCACAAATTCTTACTGTGCTTCTTTATGATATTCTTACTCTAATCATAGCAAATTTAAACATCAAAATACTGCATAAGACTAGTATAGATTGCACTAATTTAGAAGTCTCATCGAATTACTTGTTGGCGTATGACATTTTAAGAACTGATGTTTTTAGACAAATATCTACGATTTTAGCACATATAGTTTAACAATCATTTGAGTGAACCAATTTAGTGATAGATTAAAAATCAGTCGTATTTTAAGGACAGTTTTATTTGCAAAGTCCATTTAATGAAAGCTTATAAAACATATTTTCTTCTCCAATACAATCATGATTTTATATATTTGCTATTAAAGATGGTATCCCAAGAACTGTAAATAAAATAAGCACTATCAATATTAATTACGAAGTCATTTCAAAAAATAAGGGCATACCTTAACCTAAAAATGCCAAATCTAATCTATTTTAGCATAATGAAATTTCCCTTTATTGTATATGCTATCCACAACAAGGACAATGATCTGATTTTTGCTCATTTTCTCCACAAATAGAAGCTTTCTAATTAGTAATCATGCTTACCTAATGAATTTTAGCCAATGCAATACTGGCTGGTATGCGAAAAGGATCAAATGTTAAAGAATTCTCAGCATCAATCTTAATTTAATTCATATTTTAAACTCCTATTGATTGAGTATTATTAATTATTTTAATTATCAAAATGTAGGAGAACTCCAAAGAATATGATGCTTTTCAGATTCCAGCTGATATTAAGATATCTATTAAACATAAAGTATAGAAATATAATGACTAATAAGAAAGCCACAAAATGTGGTACTCCATTAGAAAAATCTGAGTTATGTCCTTGTTGTGGTAGAGAAGTAGAACAAGAGTAAAAAGAGATTGGGATTTCACCTATTGATTTAATTTATTTAGGATAAGGCATCCCTTTGTTTTTTCTATTTCTTAAATAGATGATTGTGGTTATATTAATAATTTTTGGAATTATGGGAATATATTCATTGATAACCAATAGTATTACTGATAATTGTCTAGATGATTAAAGTGATTTACTGATACTTTATTAGAATGGATTTTGTGAGAACAATTGTCCACTTCCTTATAATGAAGACTTTTTGAAAATAATTTCAATTTTAAAAACTTAGGAATGTTAAATTATTTGCAATTAATTTTCAAATATTTGCACAACTACACAATCTACTAAAATAGCTTTATCAAATAAATAATTAGATGATGATTACAAAGAAGCTCAAGCAATACTTGTATTGTGTTCAATTATTTTATTTAAAATAATATAAGTGTTATTTAGAAGACATTAAAAATTAACATAAGATGAATGTGATAGAGGTTTATTGTCAGCTTCAGATTTCACAGCAATGTTTACTAAATTACCTTAAAATTAATATACAGAATCTGAATTAAGAGATAGTCTTACAAATTATTGTAAATAAATTACATAATTTTAACCTGACTAAGAATTTGAAATAGTTAAAATAATAATTGCTTTTGATATATTTGATTACATAAATATCATAAGAACTAAAACTGAATTGGAAAAAAAGTATTAATTTAATGAATCATTTAAAAAAATTAATACTTAATATCCTTAATAAGTAACAGTAGAAACTTAAAAATAATTATTATAATAAATTTAATAGAATGAAGAAGAACTAGCCAAAATTGATAATGATATTCAAAAAAAATAATTCACTTAAACGACATAAGTAGCGTTTGTAACGTTTTAAACAAAAAAATGTATTGAACATAAATATTAGCTTAGAATTGGAAACAATTGTGGAATACACTAAATTAACAACATGGGATCTAGTTTGGACTGCAATATTAAATATTTTTGGGAAAAAACTTAACAAAGGCTTTTACTTTAAAGATAAATTAATTTAAATTACAAGAGCTCCTGAACCAGATGATGTATTTTGGGAGAATTGTGGATATAATTTAAAATACAAAATAAAACAAAGAACAATAAGTTGGTTTATAACATTAGTATTACTTATTACATCATTTTTTATTTTATTTGGATTAGATTATGTTTAAAATAATTATTTGAAAGATCAAAATATTAATTATGTTCTATTAACAATAATTTCTTTAATAATTTCATTTATAATTTCAATTATTAATGCAATGATATATTTTAGCATAACAATTTTAGCTAATAAAGAAAAACATTATACAAAAACACATTATGATGTGTCAGTTGCAACTAAATTAATATATGTTTAATTTGTAAATTCAGGATTATTAATTATGGCAACAAATATTTTAGTTTAAGGATTATCTAATGGAAAAGAAATGAATGAAGATATTGAATTATAAAGTTTGGCATTTAGTAGACCAGGAGGTGTAGCATAAGATGCTTTTATTATTACATTAATAAATGCATTAATAACTCCATTAACTTCATTTTTTGATATATTTTATCTAAGAAAATTAATTTTATAAAATCAATTGTAAAAAAATGCAACTAATACAATCACATAAACAGAAGCTAATACAATATTTGAAGGGCCATAAGTATTATTATATGATAATTATGCATATGTTTGTAAGACAGTTTGGATTACATTATTTTTTGCTCCATTAGTACCTATTTCTTTATTTTTTTGTATTTGTGGATTATTTTTATATTATTGGATATAGAAATATCTACTATTAAGAAGAAAATGTAGACCTCCACTTTAAAGTAGTCATTTGAACAGTGAAATGTGTAATATAATTAATTTCAGTCCTATTTTATTGGCTGCAGGATAATTATGGGTAGATTTTGTATTTGAATCAAATGCAACAACAAAAATTATCAATTTCGTTTCTATTGGTTTTTCTGGATTAGAGTTCTTTTTTCCATTTGAAAAATTAGT